GTCCAACCTCATAAAAATCATAAAATAAATAAAACGAAAAAACAAAAATCATTTGTGACAACTAAAAAGATTGAAAACATTACCAGTACGTATCCAACGATTTCATTACCTAGGGTACCATTATTGTCTCCCAAATTACGTAAGGTGTTTAGGAAAGCAGGATATAAAGCGGTCTTCAAATCAAACTTGAACTTAGAAGAAACATTAACATCAAGAAATAAATCCAAACTACAAATGAACAGACACTCAAGAGTCTTCCTTATTAAATGTAATTGTAGCAAAAAGTATATTGGTATATTTTTATATTTTTTATAAATGAAGTAAAAGATAAGTATGAGTTTATCTCTGATGTTTCTATGTGATTTTTTGACTAATTTTCAAAAAAATAGCAGCCATTTTTAAAAATTTTTTTTTATTATTATTAGATTAAAAAACAAACAAACTAGACTTTATCTTGAATGTTAAAAAGTATGTTATACAATTTTTTTTTTTATTTGTCGCTTGACATTTAAAATTTTTTTTTTTAATTTTATAGTCGATAAAATATATTTCATAAAAATAATATTTTTTAGTAGGTATAAATATATATTAAAATATTATCAAAAAAAGTTTACAAATATCTTAACTTGCAACGTGGCTACACATCAGTGTTGTCAGTGTTTCAATAAGAAATGCATTCAGATCATTTTAAGAAGAAAGTTTATGTTTATTCTACATTATTGTGTTATTACCAATAACACTAAAATAACAATAAAATAAATAATTTAAAATAACAATAAAATAAATAATTTAGAATAACAATAAAATAAATAATTTAAAATAACAATAAAATAAATAATTTAAAATAACAATAAAATAAAAAGTAATATTTAATGTGTTTAAATATCCTAGAGTAATGCGGGGCAAAATGAGACAGCGGGGCAATATGAGACAGTTCGCGTTTATCATGATGCATAGCCCTACAAATTATTATATCCATGATTTTTAAAAGTGCAGTTGTGTTCAAAAACTATTTTGTGTCAAGAAAAATATAATGAGTCACTTTGAAAAAAAAAGTTGAGTAGAAGGGGAATCATTTCATCCCTCGGCTTTGTGAAAATTACGAATTTTTAAGTGTTGTTATTAAATTTTTTCCTAGCCTATTTTTATCTCACTGAGTGGAAAAGCTTTTTATATTTAAAGTTTTTTTTTATTAGAATCTTTAGGCCTTTTTCTATCATTTCCATTCTTTGATATTTTATTTCTTCAATAAAATAGTCTGGAAAATAGGCAATTCGATGCCAATATGATGCGGGGCAAAACGAGGCATTCTGTTTGTATTTGTTTTGCCGATATCTAATAATATGTTTGTTTAATTTTTAACATTAAAACAACAAACACAGCAAATGTTAATATTTACATGCTTTAGATTTAAATTTATTATACTGTATTTACTTACTTTTTATTTTGTTAATTGAAATGTTTAGTTGTTATCCAATATAGAATTATGTTTTATATTTTGTTAACTTATATTTAAGTATAATAAATATTTAATCAAATTGAAGCAAATAATTGCCTGATGTTTATATTTTATCTAATTGCCTGATGTTTATATATTACTATGTTTGTATTTTATAATCTTATTGTATTGTATATGTAATTGTAATGTAATAAAGTAAGTAGTATATAAAATATATAGTGAGTAGATTATAGCATATAGGTTATTGCAGTAAACTATAAACAAAATACAATGAATGTTATGTGTGCTTTAAATACATAAGTTCAATATATGCATGTATGGTTTTATTAGTTCTTGTAGTGGGTATATATATGTATATATATATATATATATATATATATATATATATATATATATATATATATATATATATATATATATATATATATATATATATATATATATATATATATATATATATATATATATTATATATATATATATATATATATATTATACATATAAAATACTGTTCAAGCAATATGTGATTTATGTGACTAGTGACAGTTTGATTATAGCTGTAATATATTATAAAATGTATTTCTTGCTAATCCTCTTAAAGATCTGTTTTGCTTAACTTTATTTATTTAACTTACTAAAAAAAAAAAATCTGTCTCATTTTGCCCCGGTATGCGGGGCAAAATGAGACAGGATAGGTGTTGTCAATAAATGATCTCTGGTGACCAAACCACTGCAGTTTTGCAACTCATATTTAGTAAGCTTCAAGTAGGATGGTAGAAGAATTGAAAAATGTCAAGTTATTTTTTCAAAAGTTTTTAGACGGGCCGTATTAGATAAATTAGTGCTAAAGTGTCTCATTTTGCCCCTCGTTACGCATATAATATTAGGACATTTAAACACACTAATTATTACTTTTTATTTTAGAAAAAAAAAAATGCTTGAAAGTTTTTGAAGTTCCAAGTTTGTTTTTTTTATTATTAGATCCTCATAATTGTTTATATTAATTATTTTTACTTTAATATTTTTGTTTTATTTTCTGTTTTATTTCGTATTCATGAACAGGGTGTTAACCAGGAATAAATTTAATACAGCGTTTTGACGAAATTGGCAATTTGTTAAAATATTTCCTGATCATCCACCTCCTCCCCTGAGATTAAAATGTGTTCCTGGGTTGCACGGGGTCCTTTTCTTATATTCTTTTTTCTTTTACTCCATATCAGCGCTGCGTACATTGACTGGACAGCAAAAATAAAAGAAATTACCGTCTGTAACATTTATTGAAGATGAATATGAAATCAATACAAAATTCATAGTAGTTTCACAACGACAAGGTAAATTAATTCCGATTTCCTAAGATATATTAACAATTATATATTTTTATATTATAAAATAATCAGTGTATATTAATTAATTATTATTTTGAATAATATATTTTATTTATTTGTAATCATTTCATTTTATCTTTTGAATAAATATTTCTTTTTTACTGATGACATTAAAGGATGATTTTTAAAGTAATAGATTTATGTTAAATGAACATCTCCGCGGAAGAGAGTCAATGATCTTCTACTTCTAATTTTTGTTTATATTCTGCTTGACGTCCTTTTTAGACAAACCCTTACACTATCATCTAATAAATTGTGTCATCAAAGGAAATATTTTAAAAATAGAAAAATAAAAAAGGTTTTGAAAATATTAAACCTGAGCTCATAAATTTCATATTTCACATTTATTATAAGTTCAATTTTATAATTAATATCATTTTTCTCTATACGTAAATCGCATTGCTAAATAAAGTTACAATTACAAAGTCTGAGCGAAAACAACAACAAATATCGTTTAATTATAAAATAATATTGATCGCAAGCGAATCCACGCTATCGCTACAACGAAGAATACCAATAATTATTTTTTTAATCATAGTCAACGCTACAACGAAGAATACCAATAATTATTTTTTTTGATCATAGTCATAAAATGTTATTATGGCTATCATATATTTAAACATTTAAATTTGATTATTAAGTTTTAAACTTATTAAATTCAAGCAAGCAGTGAAACTAGTTTTTTTGTTTTTTGAATTTCTAGTACCAATTTGTTGTTATAAAAAAAAACGTTCTTGTTATTAAGACTTAATAAGTTATTTAACTTTTCATCCAAAAAAGAGCGAAACTTGTAAAGCAAAAAGCATTTGCGGGTGTTAAACCAAAAAAAGTTGTTTTAGTCTAACTAAAAATACTTAACTAAATTTTTAGTGTAAAAACGTTGTTTTAGTCTAACTAAAATTAGTCGACTAACTTTTTAGTTAACTAAAATTAGTCGACTAACCTTTTAGTTAACTAAAATTACCCGACTAACTTTTTAGTTAACTAAAATTAGTCGACTAACCTTTTAGTTAACTAAAATTACCCGACTAACTTTTTTGCTAACTAAAATTACCCGACTAACTTTCTAGCTAACTAAAATTACATATCAGTGAACAATATACTTTTCAATTTGGAAGCTTTGTTTAATTCGTTTACATAGATTAAAAATAGTATTGGCTCGAGAATAGAACCTTGTGGAACACTACAGGTTATGCCCAGGAGTTCACTTTAAATTTATTAAAAACTCTATTATTGTTTTTAATAGCTCTATTGGAAACCAAGTCCAGCACAAAAATTAACTATGGTTTATAACATATAGATTCGGTGCAAACAACTGCGATTTGTTTTGTAAATTATTTTGTAAATTGTCAGATAAATGGCAAATTTTGGCTTCAAAAAATTCGCCTATGTCATTCCATGGAAGTTTAAAACAGATTGAAGTTCAACTGCATGCAGTTGAACTTCAATCTGTTTTATACTTACGAGATAGTCCCGAAGAATTTCAATGCAGCTGCATTGAAATTCTTCGGGACTATCTCGTAACCTTTTGTTTCGTAAACAATTAGAAAAAGACATCAAGACTGTACTTAAACGCCTAATCTTTATACGTTGACGAATATAGGTACGTTTATAATAATTTTAAAATAAAGATTCGCCAATAATATTCAAGAAAAACATTAAAAATAGCGCAACAAAACGGCAAACAACAACTTTTTTATAAACTTCATATTAAATGAATAAATTACTACAAGAATGAATGGAATTATGATATACAGCTAATAAAATTTCAAACTTTAGTTATTTAGAAAATAATTTTTTTGATTTTTTAACAATTCTTTTAGTTGTCTTTTTTATCAAATGTCGTGTTATGACTTGAAGCAAGAAAAGAAGCTTAAACTAACATATGCTTTTAATCAAGTGGTTCTATTTAATTACTGAGTTTTAATAAACCTTTTGCTGAATAATTGCAATTACTAATGTTTAAAAATTTAGCGGCATATCCCTAGAATAATTCATTTTTTAATGTTTTAATAAAAATAATTTCAGTGAATTTTGCTGTTTTTTTATCCAGTGAAACTTGTTTTTTTTTTTTTTTTTATTGTCGGTCACAAACATATACTCCCGAGAAGACTTGAAATTGCTCTGATGTTTGCGGCTCGATGGTTGATGATTCTTATTATTTTTGAGGTCAATACGCTTGCGCCATTTATTAATGTTATCTTTCCCGCCATTTCATCTAAGTTAAAAGTTGCCTTTGTAGATAGATTTTTCTCAGTACATTTTAATATTGTTAAATCAATACGATGCCAAGAGATTACAGCGAGGAAAAAGGTGCAATTGAATTATATTTTGATTATTAAATAGCATTAATAATCACAAGACAACAATTTAAAAACTGTAAATAGTTAAAAACTGTAAACAATTTAAAAACTGTAAATTTTAGTATGCTACTTATAGTTTAAATAAAATTGTATAGGTTATTAATAAAATCCCAGTATACGAAGAAAGAAGAACACTGTTAGAACTTTAGAGAGGCTAGTTAAAAAGATATTTGACTCCTTTATTATGCAGTTTTAGTTTTTTTTTTCTTTCTGACCTTAACATTAGGTAGATGTTATAAAATTTCTTTATTAGTTTATCATTTGATTACTACACATTTTTGGTAAGTACTCCATTTAACTATTCTATAAAGATACGATGATATGATCAAATTTTTTTTTATTGAAATGCAAATTACTGGATATTTAAAAATAATATTGTAAAGGAGTGAAAGTATGTATAAATAGTTATCAAAAGCACTAAAGTAAATTGTCTCCAACACCCTTTGACTTATTTAGAATTTATATTTCTTTAAGAAGTATTTTTTTTAAAATTTGCTGTTTTTTTTACTGATCTAAATGTTGATATTTTTTTAAGAGCTATAAATTTTTAAATTTGCTGTTTTTTTACTGAATTTTTTTTATTTTTTAGATATATTCTATCAAGGATATATGTAAAGATATATTACCATCTAGTATGTTATTAGATACCATTTTTATTTTTTATATTCTAACAAGGCATATACCATCAAACCTAATTTACTCTGATTATATACATGATCAGAGTTAGGTTTGATGATATATAAGGCTACAAGAAATCAATATTTAAAAAACTCATAAAAAAATTGAAGAAATATTAACAACTTAGTGCTGAAAAACAATCAAAACTTAACTATGCTAAAAACTTTATTATACTGAAAAACTTATTGCTAACTTTTGTAAAAACTACTAAAAACTAGGCTTGTTAAAAATATAAATCTTTTAAAATGAATTTAATGAAATTATAATCATAGTTGATTTTTATAAGTTTTTCTGGAAATTCAAAGAATTCCAGAAATTTACTTAACACTTTAAGTTTCTGGAAATTTCAGCATGTTTTTTGACACTAATTTGTGTTAAAGTAGTATAAATTTTTCATAAAATTGATTTTTGCCGTCTTTCTTTTAATTAAAAAAAAAAAAATGGTATGTAATAACAATTAGTTTACTTTATTTGTACATTGAAATTCTTCTTATTTTTAATCATTCATTTTTACTTTTAAAAAATACAAAAACGGTAAGTCCATCGAATTTATGACAAGCAATGTGAACTCATAAAAATAGTTTTAATTTATTTAGCCGAAGATAATAAAAAATATAACAGGAACACAGTTCAAACTTTTAAACTTGAAAGATAAAAAAAAGTTTTGCCATTCACATATACCTTGGAAACTATGTTGAAAAAATTTGTCAAGAATAATTTGGAATCCTGACTTCAAATAATTGTTTTGTAAAACCTTTCTAAAACCTTACCTTAAATCATAAGTTTACTTAACATTTTTTTTTTTTAACTTTTTTTTATTCTAGTGCTTTTCTGCGATCTAGCTAATGTCTCATAGTCATGAAATTACAAAAAGAATTCTAAAAAAAACTACCTGTTTTCTTTCCTACTGTAGATATAAATAAATTGTAGTTAATCGAGAAGTTATCCAGCTTTAGATAGATAGCTTCCACCCATATCTGCTGCAATTCCGAAAATGGAATCGCAGCAGAAAAGCAGATAAGTTGAAGAATGTTTTTTTTTTAAAATATAAACTTCATATTTTCCTGACTCATACAACCTTCAATTTTTCAAGTCTTCTGTCAACTGTTTCCTTGCTCTATAACTCTATTCTTTTTTTCTAGTAACTTTTTTCTAGTAACTTAATAGTGGTTGCTTGCAGTCTTGTTGGAAGTGAAATTAAAAAAAACAACAATTCAATGCTGAGAAAAGTATCGCCTCACATTACTGGTGAAAATAAAACGTCAGGCGCCCGCAGGGTAACCAAGGTTTTTTTTTTCAGGGGAAGACTTGAAACTAAAAAATTTAAATTCCAAACTACTAAAATACAAATAATAATAACTGTTTATATAAAAAATAAATTATAAGTGATTATTTTTATATTTATTATTAATATAAATATAAATTTAGGTAATTTAATTTACTAAAAATACTTATTTTAGAACAAAATTTTGACATGCATTATTATGAACGGTTTTTATTAGGTTAATTTTTGATAAAGTTTAGACAAAAATTTAATATACTAGTGAAAAGCAAAAGGTTAGGCATGTGAGTTATTAATACAGGGTTCCCACTCCTCCTTAAAAACCTTAAATATCCTTAAAAAATAAAATAATAAAATGTTCTTAAATAACCTTTAAAAAAAGTAAAATTTAATGGTTCTTCTTAATTTCTCCTTTTTTTTTATTTTTTTTTTTTAATTTAAGAAATTTTATTAAAGTGAATGGATTAAACAGGTCAACAAAAATTTTTTTTTTCTGGTGCCGAGCAATAATTTCGTTTTTTGTATAGCATTTCTCATTTTGGTTTCAAATATGCAACTTATTTTTCACCATCATCAGTTGTAAAGATATTTGGGTTCAAATCTTTAGAATTTGGAGTAAAATCCTTAGTATTGTCAAAAAAAAAAGTTATAAGTATTTCAATCTAGGTCTTGAAAAAAGCGTATTTTCATAGAGATTTTAAAAAACATAAATTGTTGACCTGTGTTATACTTTATAATAAAGAAGAAAATATATAGTTCTTTGATATTTTGCAAACCTATATATATATATATATATATATATATATATATATATATATATATATATATATATATATATATATATATATATATATATATATATATATATATATATATATATATATATATATATATAAAATACTAATATATTATAATTTCTCTGTTTATATGTAAAATTTATTGAAAAAATAAGATTCTGTTTTTAATTCAATCATTTTCTCCTTAATTTTTCTAACTTTTTCTTTCTAAAAATTGTTATTCGCGGCCTAATCTCCTTAAATATTAGGATATTATCTCTTTAAATCTTGTTAAAATCCTTGCTTTTAGCCTAAGTTTTAATAATGGGAACCCTGTCATAATAAAATGTTATTAATGATTCCGTGCCTATTCACAATAATCAAAATGCCTCAAATACATTTTAAAATATGATACAATAGCAATTTGACAATGTTTTAAAAAACAGCGTGTGTCTAATTTTATTTAATTTTTTTTTTACATTAAGTAAAATTATATAATACACTATAGTCTATTCATTTTTAATATTAGTTTATAATTTACACATTATTTAAACACTGTACTTTAAATGCTTTTTTAAAGGTTTCTTTAACTAATCACAAGGAATAAAACTTCATAGTTTCAAATATGTTTTTGTTAATAAACACTCTAGTAAGTAACGAACTGCCAGGATGTATCATTTCTAGAATGTGTCAATTTATACAGTCTCAAAAAGTTGCTCACTAAGATGTCTCTTTTGCTTCAGACAATTTTAAAAGCTTTTAATTAACGCTTTAATTATTTTAAAAAATTGCTTTTTTATTATTTATTTTAGTATGATGTCATCAGTAATGTTTTATGTTTTCCTTAGTTAAGAGTATGATATGTATATATACACTTTACTTTACTTTTATATAGATCATGTTCGTAGGTTTTTATCTGAGCACTGTGTTAATGGTCCTGATGGAAAAGACTTTAAATATGGAAATGCATTGGTATATTTATTTATTATAATTTATATATTAAATAATTAATACATATTTGTTTTAAATCAAATAAATTTTTTATAACATCTTGTTATGAAATAAAAGAAACAAAATTTAATAAAAATATTAAAATGACAAAAACAACATAAAAAAAATTTATTTGATTTAGTAAATACCAGAATCTTTAAATAATAATTTTAATTATTTTTATAATTTAATTAAAATATTTTGATTATAATAGTTGTTTAAAAAATAAATAAAAATTCAGTACTTATAAACAACAACTTATGTAAAATATGTACACAACAATTTTAAATTATGATTCAGCATTTAACTGCTCATTTATGTAAAAAAAAAAAAAAAAAACAACAACTTTAACTTATTTTTTATTTTATTTTTAGGTAAAAATTGCTCATAGAGAACTCACCAGCCTTTGTATTGAACTAGATGATGTCCAAGATGTAAATACATATTATATTTTTATAAATATTTCATTCTCTATATTTTCAATATAGTTATAAGACATAAAATAATAGTTATAAGACAAAAGGGAATAAACATTCCCTTATAGTAATAATAAAAAAAACCTTTAAATAACATTTAACTTGTTTTGTTGTATTATATTGTTTTACTATATTATTGCATTAATTTAAAAAAGTTAATGTCTTTAAAAAATAAGAAAATAAAGAAAATGATGTCAAATATTGCGTTTATCTTTATTTAATCAAATGGTTTTAGTGCAAGCAGAACCTGGAATAAACATAGCATTTGATTCAATATAACTTGGCAGTTTTTATAAATCTACAATATAGTATATTTATAAAAAATAAATTTTTAAAAGGTGTTATAATTAAAAAAAGTCTTTAATTTTAACGTTGTTTTCAAAGTTGCAATCCTTTCATTTTTCATAACGGGTTATGTGCAAGTTATCAGACAAATCTTAATTTAATTATTTGAGCATAATAATTTTATTATTCGAAACACAATTATTTAAAATGATCTTAAATGCAACTGAAAGAATCTTTTCAAAAATGACTCAAAATGTTTTTTGTAAATTAACCTAATATATATAAAAAAACAAATCATACATCATTTTGAAAAGGAAGGATTTGCTCGAAGTACAATATATGATAACCTGAAAGACTTAAAACTGTTAAATCCTTTTCTGATAGAAAGCACCCTGGTCGACCAACATCCTGAACTAGAGAAAAAAAAGCCAAATTAATGAGACTTGTCAACAATCAAAAAGTTGTCAGTCAAAGAAAAATTTTTCAACAATCTAAAAGTCGTCAGTTAAAGAAAATTAAATATAGAAAGCGTGAAAAGTCTCCAAAATACACTATAGAACAACAATTAAAGGCAAAGAAAAGAAGCAGGAAACTAATTAACCAACTCTATAACACAAAATTGCTTTTTATCATTGATGACAAAAAATGCTTTTATTTTGCAGGGGTCAACATGCGTGGAAATTCTGGATATTACACAAACAACAAAAAACATGCCCAGAAAGTGTTCATTTTATAGAAAAAGAGAAGTTTCCAAAAAAATTACTAATGTGGATAGCCATAGGGGTCGTCCATAAATTACGTCACGCTATAAGGGGGTCGGGGGGGGGGACGGTAGTTTTGTGACGACTCATTCAAAACTCGCTTCTTAAGTGTTATGATTTTGTGACGAGGGGGTTCGAAAACAGTCAAAAATTGCGTGACATAATTTATGGATGACCCCATATCTGACTGAATTATGTCCGAGCCATTGTTTCGCACTTCCAAGGCTGTAGCAATTAATTCATCGATCTATATTGATGAAAGTTTAGAAAAACAACATCGTTTAATTCATGAACAGTATCATGGAGACTAACTATATATTTTGGCCAGATTTAGCAAGTTCTCATTATTCTAAAAATTCTAATTACATTGATAAAGAATCCAATCCCCGAAATGTGCCTCAAGCACGACAAATTAAAAACTTTTAAGGAACTTTAGCACAGAAGGTTTACAAGAGAGATTGGCAAGCTTCAACAGAACAAGTTTTGATTGACCGAATTAAATTAAAACTACAAGAAATCAATTTAAATTTTTTACAGTCGCTTATGAAAGGCATCAGAGCAAAATTAAGATCAATTGCAGATGTTGGTGTTTTTTTATTTAAAAAAATAACTTATTTTTATTAAAAGATAAATACTTTATTTAAAAAAAATATAATATTAGTTTTTTTTTATTTATAAATAAGTTATTGATGTTTTTTTTGTCCAATAACTTTAATATATATAATTAAAAGATAGGTTTCTTATATACCATAACTATTCCTTATGTTAGAAATTGTTTTAAAAATTGTGTGATTGATGGGAAAAAAATTATAATTTGTCAATCAATTGCTTCCATTTTAATTTAAATATATATATTTCTTTAATAAAATAATAATAAAGAAATGAGGTTAACAACACTGTTCCACAGAAAAACAAGCTTAACTATTAATGCTTAATGAAAATTAAATTAAACTTTTAATATATTTTTTGCAGATGAATCCTGAATTGGCTGAAAATATTGTTAACAATACTCGAAGATATTCACAACTTTTTTCTGATGTAGTATTTGAAATGCTTCCTGATTATAAAGAAAGAGAAGTTAGTATTAATGTTTCCTTTAAAATTATTTAGTTTATTTTTACAAATATTTTTTCTTAGCTGTATAATTAGTTAATTTCATAAATTGTATAATTTTTTAACTCAAAAATAAAAATAAAAACTTTGATATAAATCATTAACTTTAAAAATCTTTCCTTGCTTTGTAAACATTTTAATTCTTGATTGTATAAAAACTTTTAAGTTTACAGGCCCACTAAAAATTGTAACATACTAACATTACACTTATTCAGTAATTGCTTATGATGATTAAAAGGCGAATATGAACTTTAGTTGGTTTTATAAAAGTTGACATTGTTTGTAGTATAATATAGTTAGCATAATATGCTGCTGTTGTATGTACTACATTATTGTTGGCTTCTAATAATACACTACTATTCTATGTAATTTATTATTATTCTGAAGCAATTTTTTTATTAAAGCTATAGAAAGTAAAAAAATCAAATTAAACTGCTTGAAAGTAATCAGATAAACATAGTTGATGGTAAAAAGATTCTAAAAGTTCACTGATTACATATAAGTAATTAAAAAAAAAAATCTTTTTCTATCTCTTAGGTTGAAAACAAAGATGTCCTTGATGTTTTTATTGAACATAGATTAATGATGGAGCGCCAGATGCATCCACCTCAACCTGGTGGATTACAAGAAGACATAAGGAAAATGTATCCACCTGAGCTTTTAAGAAGATAGTAAGTAATACTGGAAATAGCTCTTTTATATATATATATATATATATATATATATATATATATATATATATATATATATATATATATATATATATATATATATATATATATATGTGTGTGTATATATATGTGTGTGTGTGTGTGTGTGTATATATGTGTGTGTGTGTGTATATATATATATATATATATATATATATATATATATATATATATATATATATATATATATATATATATATGTATGTATGTATGTATATTCAAATATATACACAAATTGTTCTAAATTTCGAATTTTTGATTCAAAATTTTTAAATTTAATCGGTCAACAACAACAGTTTCATTTTGTGGCAAAATTGAGTTTAAATAATTAATTCAAATAAACATGGAGCATCTAAAAGAGAGCGATGTTAGAAATGTGATTGGAAATTTTTATAAACAAAACATAAACAGTGGAAAGAAATTTACAGTGGATCATTTTAAGAAAATGGGAATCGCTAAATCTACAATTTATGACATAATTAAAAGGTCTGAAAATAATTTGCCAATGAAAAGAAAAATCGGTTGCGGCAAAAACCTTTTAAAATCACACCAGAAAAGATAGAGTCCATGATTGCAAGAGCAGAAGAGAGAATCGGGATTTCGCAAAGAAAATTGGCACTAAAATAAGCGTTTCATATGTAGATTTGTAGATGTAGATTTCATAGAAAATTTTATAATGTAGATTTCATAGAAAATTGGCACTAAGATAAGCGTTTCATATGTAAATAAATTATTAAGTATGCATGGACTGAAGTATACCAAAAGCAAAAATGCACCAAAAACAACAGAAAAGCAAGAAATTAAACAAAAGAAAAACTTATTAAAACTTGCAAAAACTTTTTTCAAGCCATCAAATGAGTTTGAAATCATCATGGACGATGAATCTTATTTCTGTGTAAATGGTGCAAATTGTTCACAAAACTCTGACTACTATACAAAGGATAGTTCTCAAACTGATCCTAACATTAAATTCAACTTCAAAAAAAAGTTTGAGGAGAAAGTTCTCGTTTGGATTGCAATCAGTCGTTTCGGTCATTCATCGCCTAATTTTGCTGTAAAAAACTGTGCACTGGATGCAAAAACTTATTCTAAATAATGTATTACAAAAAGACTTCATCCATTTATAAATTCCAAGCATCAAAAAAACATAAAAATTTTATTTTGGCCTGACGGAGCGAGATGTCATTATGCAAAACACACATTAGAAATTTACAACACTTTAGGTATTAACTTTGTCAACGCTAAAGATAACCCCCCAAATGTACCGCAGTTAAGGCCAATTAAAAATTTTTTGGGCACATTTAAAAGCAAAAGTTTATGGAAATGTATTTACTGCAAAAAATCTTGACCACCTTAAGAATAGAATTCGATTAAAGTTGAAAGAGTTCGATCCAGACTACTTTTTCAACCTAATGGATTCAGTCAAAACTAAAGTTCGAAAAGCCGCTGATTTAGGACCACTTTCGGTTATAAAATAGTTAACGATGTCCAGTCTATCATTTTAGTTTAAATTTTTGTCAAAAATCGATTAATTTTGTATTCAATTAAGGACAATTTTTCATTCCGGATTTTTTGTGAACAGACGTTATATATATATATATATATATATATATATATATATATATATATATATATATATATATATATATATATATATATATATATATATATATATATATATATATATATATATATATATATATATATATATATATATATATATATATATATATATATATATATATATATATTGTGGTACAACCCTCTCTCAACTCTTTAACTCCAAAACACAAAACTTGACAAGCAAGACCGCTGTGTGGAGAAATTAAGATGACTGAGCTATCTAGCCACTTAATTCTAAATCAGATATCTAAAATATCATGTTTGAGTAAAGAACGCAGATCGCTCATTAAACATAAATATAAAAAATAGCCTCTCTGTACTTGCTTGTAAGACTTACAAGTGACTACTCTGCACACTTCTTGTATTCTTTTTGAGTATTCTTAAATTCCCTCAAAAGCTGCTACTATTACTGTGATACTCTCATTATATATAAAAACTATTCTTATTCTATAAAAATTACCATTTTAATTTTGATAATGTAAATATATTAGTGTATAATACCATGCAAATATAATAAAAGCCCTATAATGAACTTAATTTCAAGGAAAATTTAAAAATTTTCTAATTATTATTATTTATAGAGTTTCCCAGACCCCATTCACCTGATGATTCGTAGTTTATTTATTTGTAATTAATTTTTAACAGCTTTTTTTTTTCTAATTGCATTATTTATTCATCTAGATATTTTCATATAGCACTATATCAGAACACTGATAATAAGTTGACTTTTTAATAAAACATTTTAGGGACCATTTATACAATATTAGGGACCTGATGAATAGAAAATGAGCCTAAGTATGAACTAAATATTTAACAGTTAAACTTAAATTAGACTTGAAACTTCAAATTGTGTATCTAGGATTATTAAATTATTTCTTTTTAACTTCTTTATTATAATCATTGTCAAGGCCTACTTATTTATTTCCAGTAACTTCTGGGGTATCTCAAGGTTCTATTTATGGTCCTGTTTTGTTTCTTATCTACATTATTGATCTTCCCCACAACCCTACATCTATATTAACTCTTTTTGCTGATGACTCAAGTTTTTACTCCTGTCTTGACAAAAAGTCTTCTTTTTTGATCACTTAGAATAGGCAGCCAATTTTAGATCTGTTGATACAAAATTGGCTGCCTGTTCTAAACAATCAAAAAGAGAAGACTTCTAAAATATGCGACCCCTAATCTGTTCACAGATTGGGGCTCACATAAATTAGCTTATAAATTTTATTTCCAATAAAACTCAGTTATTTACTGCAAACAACTACCACAATACTGTCGACATTCCTATATTAATTAATGGTAACCCTCTTACTGAGTCCTCTTTTTTACATCTTCTTGGAATATTATTTGCTACTAACCTTTCATGTAAACAAAATATACAATCGATTGCTAAATTAGCATCCCTTTATCACTATCGCCGTTTTCTTACCCTTGATTCCATTCTCTACCTCTACAAATATCTTTTTTTCCCTGTATGGAATGTTGTTGTCATATTTGGGCTGGTTCTTCTTATAATGCCCTTTTTCTTCTAAACAAGCTCTATCTGCTAAGCTTGAGCCTCTTTCCCATTGTCGTAAAGTTGCATCTCTTTCTCTTTTCTACAAATTCTATTATGGTGGCTGCTCAAAAGAATTATTACCTCTAGTTCCATTAACAAAAACTCATTCTCGCTTGACTCTTTATTATGCTAAGTTTCATTCATTAGTTGTTAAATTTTATTAAATATAATAAATGTAAATAAATAATGTTTATTGTGTCAATATACACTAAAAACAATAAAGATAAAATTGAGGAAGATAAAATTATCAAAGTAGTTTTTATACAGGACTGCTTCAACCGTGATAACCTTTAACAGTGTTAATATACCAAAACAAAAATTAATTCAGTAAATTTCAGTATTTATTGTCCTATTTAAATCAGAAATTAAAATATGAATTAAGATATTGCCATTAAAGTTAGGTTTAGTAACTTAAACAATGAATTTTTGAATATTTCCCAAAAAAAAAAACAAAAAAAACGGACCCCTATGTTTTTTTTTCCAAAAAAAACCAAAAAAAACAAAACCAAAAAAACGCGTCACATCTCTACTAACGTTAAATAAACTGAATAACATGACAAAAATTTTGATTGTATAACTCTGTTCCATTAAACCGTAAAATTATATTTTAAAAATTTGATCGAACACTGTCTGACCCAAACAAGTTTTGATTGGACATTTTGTTTGGGACTTTATAAAAAATTAAATTGATATATATATATATATATATATATATATATATATATATATATATATATATATATATATTAGTATATATTTACTATCTTTATAATTCCAATATCTTTTTCTTTAAAAGTGAAATCCAGTTTAAACACAGCAGCCAACAAAAAGCAGAGTCTGTAAGAAATATAAAAGCCGAACGAATTGGAAAGTTATCAGTAGTGCGTGGTATTGTTACAAGGTGTACTGAAGTAAAACCTGTAATGTCAGTTGCTACTTATACATGCGATCGATGTGGAGCTGAAGCTTACCAATGTATAAATTCACCAACTTTCATGCCATTAATTAATTGTGAAAGCCATGACTGTAAGACTAATAGGTGGTTACTATTTAATTTTCTTTTTTAAATTATATAATTCATATTTTTAAAATCAATATTCTTTTAATTAAAATACTTTTATAGATCTGGTGGTCAACTCTATCTACAAACTCGCGGTTCAAAATTTATTAAATATCAAGAGCTAAAAATTCAAGAACACAGTGACCAGGTCCCTGTTGGTAATATACCAAGAGCAATGACTATTGTAGCACACGGAGATAATACACGTTTAGTTGTACCTGGGGATCATGTTCAAATTACAGGAGTTTTGTTACCCATGATTAAACAAGGATTTGCAGCAAGTGTGCATGGTCTAAACACAGAAACTATATTTGAGGCTCATGTAAGCAGAGTTTTTACTTAACCTCTAAAAGTTTCACCTACATATTTCACATATCAGTGTTTTTCTTAAGAGCTGTTGTCTGTAAAAATCAGACAAGTTTGAAAAAACATATATATTAAATTAGACCATTCTGTTCCTTTTTATATAATTGCTTTGTATATTTGACAACAACAAATGCAAAATATTTCGTTTTTAATTTTTGTCATACTTTGAGTCAATTTGAGTCAATTTTGCTTATTTTGCTTTAAATCTCAGTAATAATAACTGGGATTTAATTCAATATATGTTTATTAAAGTTATTTATAATAGCCAACCACAAGTTTTACCAGTAAAATTAATATTAAAATTAAAGTTGTCAAAAAGTAAAAATATTGTTAAATAGAATGAACCAGTGAAATATTGAAAACAACATGGCCACATTTATTTTTTACATCAGACATTGGGTTTGCTAAATAAAAATGTCTGACATCTCAAATCTGGATCCAATGCCCTGAATTTTTAAGGTGTCCGTGAATGTCCTTGAAAACTACATTTGCATCAAAAATATCCTGAAATTCGTTTTTGTAATTTAATTTTTAACAACAAAAGAAAATTTTTATAATTTAATATTTATTTAAAAGGTTTTTTATTTTTATTATATTGTTGTATTTACTTAAAATTTTTAAAATCTTTAATCTTTTATTTGTATTTTATTTTAAAAAGATTGACTAGAGACATATATAAGTATACAAATATTTTTTGCTTTTCATCTTGCATGAAATGTCATTGACGATATGCTACTGAATAAGTCATTATTGGGGGTTTCAGTATGTACATCAACTGAGGTTTGCATTTCATCAAGTACTATCTAGATATGTATGCAAAACTAAATACAAAAAAAGAATTTTGTTTATAGTAAGAATTCCAACATTACTGTATTTAATGTGCCTTATTCATGTTTATTTTTTATTTATTATATAAATGTAAATTTTTTACCCAGCTAAACTTTAGTTAATGTTTTTTTCAATTTTATTTATTTACTTTTTGCATATAATTTCCATTAATAATTTTGTTTTGTTCCATTTAAATGATATGGTTTAAGCAAATAATAAAAATCCAAAAAAATATTTTAACATTTTAAATAAAATTAGATTATTTAATAAATTAATACACTTTATTCAAATACTTTGACTAAAACTGGCCTTTACTTTTCTTTAAAAGTCAATTTAAATTTCTCTAACTTAGATCAATTTCAAAAATGTATTTGTTTATTTTGATCAACTTTAGTATATTTTTGTGGTTTTTAAGGTGTTCTCAGAATTCCTTACAGTCTTCTTACAGGGCACTGCAGAAGAGCATTTATCTAGAAAGTTTGCACCTCCTTTCTTACCAATGTCGCTTATTGGGCTAGAGCCGACGTCGGACCTCAGATCTTTGGCTTCTGAGCCAGAACTCTAACCACTGCGCCACAACTGATCATAAATCAACTTAGTTAACAGTCTATTTCAAAGTTGTCACAACACTAAAATTTATAATATTTTGTTATTTAATAAATTTGAGGAATAAATTTATAAGTTTTGATAATATTAATTTAATGTTAATAAGATATAATAGTTCTTGAATTCAATTCTCATCCCACAACCTTTCAAGATTCATGCCTCAAAAACTACAAAATAATAAATGAAAAGCTTTGCTTGTAGAAATGTTAGATTTGATCAAATTTTTTGGTAATTGCTATAGAAATGTTTTTTGAAGCTTTTAACTTATAATTAGGTATCATTCTGAAAAACACATGTGGTTCATTTGGATCAAGATAACCTGCAACTAATAGTTAGGGGAGGGGTAGACTCAACAGTAAAAATTCATTGATTAGGGTGCTTTTATTTTGGATGGGGGAAGTTATCTTAAAATAAGCATTGATCTGGAAGTATTGCTTCCAAAACCGGTAGTACCGATACCGGAATAATTTTGAGGGCTTGTGATATAGCAGATAAGGTCTCTCTCTTTACGTGAAACACGGAAGTAAATGAAATATTTAAAATTTCCAGTCGCTATAAACAATGCTTTTTTATCTTGTAATGAGAGTATAAAATCACGCTCGCTAAAGAATTTGGGATGGGGAAAATAATAAATTATTTAATTAAACTTTTATAAAAAAATTGTTAAAAATATTTAATTAAAATTAAAACTTGTCAAGTTTAAAAGTAAAATTTTGTCTTCCTTCTATTAATAAAGAACTGATTCAAAATAGTATCATTACGTCACTCGCTTTAAATGTATAACGCATGTTTGAGTTTTGCACTTACGTAAAGAAAGAAAAGTTTGAAATCCTGAACGTTGAGAACATTTTTAATTTTGAAAAATTTCAAGATGATAGATTATAAAGCGTTATTCATAGTGTAATTTGCCAATGGCATACCATTGGCAAATGAAAAACGGTTTATAATCTATCATCTTGACATGGTAATCTATCATCTTGACATATTATCTATAATCTATCATTATATTATCTACAATCTATCATTTTGATATTACATGGTATATATGTAAATGTATATACATGTAAAGTTATAGAATTAACATCAATTGCTATAATACGCTTACTAAAAAACCTTATGCATTTTGAATTAAGAAATAATAACCAATATTTTATGTCTAAAAGACTGAATTACCTTATTAACCAGAAGAAAATAAAATGTCATAGAAAGTGTTCAAAGAATTTAGCACCATCGTACGAGTAGACAAAAGTTCTGCAAGGTTTTATTTTCTGCGTGATTCTGCATGAAAATCAACTTGCAAAGTGTAAGAAGTGCAACAAAGAGATAAAATCATATGGTGGAAGTACCAGTGTACTACATACACATCAAAAAAACTAACCATGAAATTGACTTGCTGAAGAGGAAATTGTCCCAAGATGCAGCATCTTCATTGGTTTCGTTCTCATTGATACTGTTATCAACGGCCGAAAAATCAAAACCTCTGATCACCGGTTTCTTGCAAAATCAACGTGACAATTCGTTGCCCTCATTTTTTTCTAGATTGAACACCCTTGATTTTGGAACCTTAGATTAGCTAGAGTTGTTGGTTCGCTGCCTGCTGAAAAATGTATTGGTTTAGTTCAAAAATTGTTGACACAGTTTATGTTATTATTTTCAAGTAACTTTTAAGTAGCTGTTATCAATAGTTGTGCACTAGGCATGGTATTCAACTAGGTGTTCAAGACGTTTTGTACAAAAAAACCGTCAACATCTGCACAAAAAAAAAACTTGAAAGTAATCTGCAATTATAACAATAGCAGTGAAAGTGACAAGAATATAACTATTAAGGAAAACATAGACAAAATCAAGAATGACAGAGAACTTTCCAGCGGGTTTCAAGTTGTAATGAGTGAAGGGAATGATTTTATTGAAATTACAATTTGCAAAACTGATGATTTGCAGTCGTTAATCAATAAGGTGCGCACCGTTGTGAAATTTGATCAAACACTTTAAAAACACATTAAAAAATTTGGTAAAGGCCTTCTACTAATACTTGACTCCAAAACTTGCTCGAACAATTTTCACTCAATACTCGAACTTTTTGTAAAATTGAAAAATTGCATTTTCAAGTCACTGATTGACTTTGAGTCCAAAGTTCAGGTAACTGATAAGGAGTTTAATGCAATATTAGCTGTTGCTTCATGCCTTACGCTAGTAAAACTGGCTTTAGAAACATTTTGCCAAAATGATGCAACGCTGTTGTCAGCCAATACAGCATTTTCTGCTTGACTGAAAGATCAGCTAAAATCAGAAAGCGTATAATCCTCTATCTTCCACTAGCGTTTTTTCCTATTCTAGCGATTCAGTTGACAACGCTGTAAATTTGTTGTTAAAAGAAAAGCTTGACTTTGCAATTTTGATAAATAAGAAATGTAACAACAAAGGAAGATTGAATGTTTTGAATAATTCATTAAAATTATATGTAATGAGATAGCAGTTTTCGAAGAAGGAGGAGATCGTAGTATATATTTGCAAAATTCCTACCAATACTTGAAAACTGTGAAGCCAACAAAAGTGGAATCGAAGCGTGAATTTTCAAGAAGTGGCAACATTGTCACGAAATTACGATCATCTCTTGAGACTGATACTCTGAACACCATATGTTTTTTACGGGCTAATTTTACAAAGGAGAAAAAAGCAAAAAACAAAAAAGTCAGTAACTTTGATATAAAATAAATAAGTTTATTGAATCAATGAAATTTTTACTATTAACTTGAGATTTTATTTATATTATGATCAATTAAGAAAAAAAGTTTAATACCGGTATTAGTGGTATTGAAAGTTATCAGTACCGAAATACCGGTATTGAAAAATGGTATCGGTATTGGAAGCACTATTTAGGAGTTTAATAGTTTGAGGAGATAAAGGTTATAATTTATCTTTGGAATTATTGGAAGGTAGTTGTAAAAAGAGTGTATAAAATATGTTTTTTACAATGTTTATCAAACTAAAGTCTTTTATTTTCTGACATAAACTTAAAATTTCTAATATACTTTATAACCATTTCTGTTTGTGTGGTATTACTGATTTTGATGTAGTTAATAAATGCAAAAAAGTTTTGAAAATTATTTTTATATTCCAAGACCAACTTGTTTTTTTTTATAAACATAAAAAGATAAATTGTTTCTTTAAAATAGAAATTTGCAAAAAAATATGGAAATCTTTGGTGTTTTGAACAACAAGCTAATGAAAGCTGTTTTATCAGATATAAATATAAAGGCTGTTTTATCAGAACCTGTTTTAATAAATCAATAAAGGCTGTTTTGTCAGAGCCTGTTTTAGTTTTGCTTTTAAGTTAAATGTTATGATTGTTCATTTCTAATTTATAGAAAATTATCAAGATGAATAAATCTGAAGAAGAAATAAACGATCGAGAACTCTCAGAAGAAGAAGTTTTATCTCTTTCAGAAGGTTTTTTTAGTAGTATTATTTTTTAATTTAAAAATTATGAAATTGATTTGAAATGACACTTGCAAAACCTAGCAGTATAAAAAGTGGGTAATGAAATATAAACCTTTTAAGTTGGTTTTAAAACTTGATGTTTTAAGTTAGTTCTACTTATTCAACATATTCAATATAAAAGTTATTGATAGTTATTCAAAGTTTTCATTAAATAGAAATTATTTGTAAACAAATATTTCCAGGCTATTTTTTATTTTAACTAAAGCTTGAATCTTCTAATTAAAATTTATTTTAAGTAGAAGATTTTTATTATATTTAAAATTTATTTTAAGTAGAAGTATTTATTAATTAATTGATTAAAACTTTAGAAGCTGACTTTTATGAAAAACTCTCCTCTTCAATTGCTCCAGAGATCTATGGTCATGACGATATCAAAAAAGCTTTATTGCTTTTACTTGTTGGAGGAGTTGACAAAAATCCTAATGGAATGAAAATTAGAGGTATAATTTTACAAATGATTTAATTCAGTTTAAGTTTCTTTTACAGTAGTATCATTGTTTTTTGTTTTTATTTATAGTTTTAAAATGCCAATGATGAATATTACTTAAGAAGCCGTTAACAAATTGTTATAAAGGCTAATGATCCTTAAGTTTTCAACCTGACTGGCAATTTTTATGCTATGAATATGATTATAATAAGTTAATAGCTTCAATTAAATACAAAATATAAAAATTAACTATTGAAATGAATAAAAGTTTTTATATTATATAAGCTTATTATATTAGGCAGTATCAACATGCTTCTTATGGGTGATCCTGGTGTTGCAAAATCCCAACTACTTGGTTATATTGATAGACTAGCACCACGAAGTAATACTTTTTACAACAATCTTGATTTGTATCCACTTTAATTATACATATTTAATGAATACTATCTTAAGGTCAATACACTACTGGGCGTGGATCTTCAGGTGTTGGACTTACCGCTGCTGTTACAAAAGATACCTTGACTGGAGAAATGACTTTAGGTAAAATCTCTATTAAAATAAATTTATACAAAGATAATATAGTAAAAATTTTAAATATCTGAAGTTTTGAAAAAAAAAATTTTATTTATAATTTTATATATATATATACACACACACAGCCCTCAGAATTACCTAGCTGCGTTTCTGTTTTATGGTAATCCCTTTGTGTCAAATTTTTTTTGCCAACCTGATGCTGATCTCTAACAGTTTTAGGTTGGTAATTTATTGTCAACCTCATTTTTCTAAATTCCAAGGGTTGTATATATATACATATTAATGTGTTAGTGTATGTGTGTGTATGTATATGTATATAATTATATATATATATATATATATATATATATATATATATATATATATATATATATATATATATATATATATATATATATATATATATATATATATATATATATATATATATATATATATATATATATATATACTTAGCTGAACTAGAAAGCTATTTTCGTAGAACAAGCTTTTGTTTTGATATGCATAAGCAGTTTTTCAGTGATGCTATATAGTTTAAGCATAACATACTTTTTCAATTCAATCAATTATTTTTTGCTTAAATTTTTAGTGATTTTGCATTGTATCATAATTCATTCAGAGACTTTCAGTGGTACATAAAAGCACAGTGTGTATTTTCACATACAAGTACATATGAGGGTAGTAGTGTAGATTCTAAAATGTTCTGGAACATTTTAGAATCTACACTACCATCCTCATATAAACTTCTGGAACCTTGTTAAAATAAGTCTTGTTAAAATGAGCAAAGAAAGGTTTTAGATGGATTGGTGTTGCACATAATTTAATGAAATGCATTTTCAATCTGTTTAAAATTAATTGCGCAAGAAACTAGAAATACATTTTGCAAATGCTGTATGTATTGCATAACATAAAGTTGTTTTAGTACAATTAGTATTTCTGTTTAATGCTTAGTATAAATATAAGTTGCAGTTATTTTTCTTTAATTGTATCACTTTAATTTAGTATAAACATTAACACATCAATTTTAAGTATGTTAAGAACAAATGGTTTATGCTTCTTTTTTTTCTTTTTTTTTTCTTTGTAATCTTTGTAACTAGTTCACTTGTTTGCACAATTACCCAATTAAAAAAACAAACAACAACTATGAACCCTAAAAATCACTCTTTAAAGAAACAGTCTAGCACAGTACACAGGGATGTGATCAGATCAAACTCGGTACTTCTTGATCACAAAGCTCTATAGTTAAACCACAATTGCTTCTTCACAAATTTGATGTTTCATTCTTCAAGAACTTTGTTAATAAAAAAAGGTATTTTGGGGGGTTTTTAAGTTTTTAAACAATGCATTTATGAATTTTTTTTTCTGACAGCAATGACTTGGTATTTACTTTCTTAGATGTGTTAGCCATCAAAATGTAAGAACCCAGTTTGTGACATTAGCCTACATATTTTAGCAGTTTTATCTGGGGATACTCCAATGAATGTCACTTAGTTGATTGCAATTTTAATTTAGTTGGTTTGATTGTATTTTCTGGTTGATAGTGGATCAGTAATTTTATCTTCTTTATATTTGCCACCTGTAGATTTGTAGATACTAGATCATAGAAAGTTGATTTTGATGTTGAAGCTGGCTCAGCAGTTATTCTATTTCATCTGTTAGTACCCCCACTTTACCTTTCTTTTCACTTGTTGTATAGATTGGTTGTAACATTAATAAGTTGATTTGGAATATCAATTTGACCACTTTACAAATTTGTTGTCAATCTTTAATACTGTATGAATCTTTGTTAATATTACTTGATTGAACAAAAAAAACTTTTTTTTTTAAATATAAGGTGTTGTAAGTTTTTTGAAAATTTCTGTTGCACTCTTTTTTACCCTTTAAACTATGCTCCAAGAAATTTTGTTATCTAATTATTTGCAATCAGAGTGGAGTTCTGTATTTTTCTTGCTGGTTTTTCTAAATTTGTATTTATTGACAGTAGTAACCAAATCTGACTTTTATTCAGATATTTTTTATTATTGATTATATTATTCTTTTGCAACATGAAGGTAACTTTTTATTATTATTTTTTATTTAAAAAGAAATTTTATTTGTAATTATAAAATAATTTAGGCAGTAATTGAGATATATTCAATTCAAGATATTTTATATAGATGTGTTTTATTTTTGATGGTTCTTATAACATTTAGTTAGTGAAAAGTTGTGCACAAAAAGATAATCATTTATTTTTAGCATTGGTTTTTCTTTATAAAAAGATTTCCTTAACAAAAAAATCTATTTTTACAACTTATTTTAATCAAGGGTTTCAAACATCAGTATTTTCTTTTATAGTTGCAAAATATAAAATTCAATGTTAAATGCAAAATTTAATAAAATATATCTATTTTATTTTTATATGTAAGAGGGTGGAGCCTTAGTGTTAGCTGATCAAGGCGTTTGTTGTATTGATGAATTTGATAAAATGGAAGATGGAGATCGGTCTGCTATTCATGAAGTCATGGAACAACAAACTGTCTCAATAGCAAAAGTATGTCATATTTGTTTCAAATAGATGTAAATGATTTAATTTGTTTTTTATTATTAGTTGTATGAAAAATTGCAATATTTTTTTTTTAATGTATAGGCAGGTATAATCACAACATTGAATGCACGTGTATCCATCCTTGCAGCTGCTAATCCTGCATTTGGTCGATATAACCCTAAGAAAACTGCAGAACAAAATATTCAATTACCAGCTGCTTTGTTATCTCGATTTGATTTGCTTTGGTTGATCCAAGACAAGCCAAATAGAGAAAATGATTTGCTGTAAGTTGTCTATCAATTCACTTTAGTGATTGATAAAATATTCTTTATCTTTAACTTTATCAGTGATAAAGATAAAGTTGATTACTCAATGCATGAATTTATTTATATTTTAACTAATTTTTGATTTAGTCTGCTCAATCTGCAATTTCTATGGTCAAGTTCTAATATTCTTAATTTTTATTAATAATAAAAGTATTATATCAGCTACAATTTTGAAATATGTTACATCAATACTAGTTTACAACATTTATATTGTCTTGCCAACTTTGAATAACTTGTCATGATGTTTATTATCATTTTTTTTAGTACAGAAAATCAGAAAGTCAGAGCATGTTTTTAATTTTAATTTAATGTTTTTAATTGCAATCCAAAAATTTTTAATAAATTACAAAAGACGTTATTTTTAAGAATTCTTCTATATACAAATCTCATTCAAAAGTTTTAAGAGTAAAATATGGTGTACTTTACAAACCAGCAGAATGCTGTATAATAATATAAAATATATAAAATGTGTGTTTGTCATCAGTTTTTAAATGGTTTGGGAGGATATTACCTGAATCAATCTTTTTCTTTCTTATTACTTCTTTTATAACATGCCATGTTTTTTTAAAATAGCCAATGTTATTTTATAAAAGATTCGAATAAAATTTTTTTTTTTAACTCTTAAGTTTTTCAAGAAGATTTTTACAATATTTGTATTTATTTTCATTTATGGAAGTTGTTTATATATATATATATATATATATATATATATATATATATATATATATATATATATATATATATATATATATATATATATATATATATATATATATATATATATATATACATACATATATATATATATATATATATATATATATATATATATATATATATATATATATATATATATATATATATATATAGAGAGAGAGAGAGAGAGAGAGAGAGAGAGAGAGAGAGAGAGAGAGAGAGAGAGAGAGAGAGAGAGAGAGAGAGAGAGAGAGAGAGAGAGAAGGTCACTAATAAGCCCAGTGTGATTCAAAAGGTTATTTAGAACCGTAATGCACAATTAAAAGTAATGACTTGCTGCATTTATTGTAAAAGTAAACATTCTTATTTTGTTCATTTCATTAATAATCATAAATTATATAAATATATATTTTATATCTGTATTTTCAAAAGACAAAGGAGTCAGGCTAATAATTAGGTCAAGAACTGTTGAGACGTCTGCGCGTGTTTTATGGAAGCAATTTTTTTTTTATAGGTTAGCTCAACACATTACTTACGTACATCAAAACTCTGTTCATCCTCCTGCTCAGTATACTCCGTTAGATATGAATTTAATGAGGTATGTGAAAATAATCATAGAAGAGATTTATTGTTATAGAATTGTTAATATTTGTTTAATATTTTATTAACATTCTTTTAAAGACGTTACATAGCCTTGTGTAAAGAGAAACAACCTACAGTTCCACAAGAACTCACTGATTACATTGTGAGTGCTTATGTTGAAATGCGAAAGGAAGCAAGACACAATCGTGATATGACTTTTACGTCAGCTAGGACATTGCTTGCCGTTTTACGTATCGGAACAGCATTAGTATGTTATACGTTAAAAGATTTTATAAAGTTTTTATATTTGAAGTTTTAACATCTGTTTTATTGTTATATCTGTATTATATATTATATCTGTATTATTAATTTTTTAGGCTCGTCTTCGATTGGCGGATACCGTAGAAAAAGAAGACATTGACGAAGCTATGCGACTTATGGAAATGTCAAAGGCTTCTTTATCTGAAGATGAAGCACCTCAAAAGTAAGTTTATTTGTTTTGAATATTTTCGATATCATTTTAATTTATAAATGTTGGTTTGAAATTCTATTTAATTTTGATTTGATGTAATTAAAACTGTGTTTAAATGGTTTTATTAGAAAGCCTCGCGCAGTTGATGCTATTTATGGATTAATTCGTGAGATCGCTGGACTCGAGAGTTATGTCAAGTGAGTATTTGTTTTATCATTATCAAGTTTTTAAAGTGGATACTTTTTTGACTGATTGACGTAACAACGTTGGTTATTTAACTGGTTAAGACGCAGATAAAGTTTACGTTTATATCGTAAAGGTTCGTTTTCCTTTCATAATGGAAATTTTTTATTTTGTAGAGTCGATCAAGCTAAACAACGTTGTTTAACTAAAGGTTTTACTCCAGACCAATTTGAAGCTTGTCTACGAGACTACGAAAACTTAAATATATGGCTGCTCAACAAAGCACGAACTCGTATTACTTTTGTCTGAGTGCTCAAGTTTTAACGAAATTGATTGTTTTATAGAGTTATAAGAAGGTACACTCTGGAAAACCATACGTTTCCTAAAAAAATAGTAAAATCAACTTATCCTTGGTAAAAAAACAGGGTTTAAATCGAATTCATTGATCCCGACTTGTGTTTATAATTTATATTACATTTTTACATTACATTGTAAAAACTTAAAAAAAGAAATGTAAATTATAGACAAATTTGTTGAAGCGTCGTTGATTCGCACTTTTAAATTTTGTACTTGTTTCGATGTTAAATAAGAAAATTTTTTCTATTAGTTAAAAATTCTGTCAATTTTATGGCTAAAAAATTACTTTTAATGTTTAAAAACGGAGTAAGCAGTTTCTTCTTAAAAAATTTTTTTTTTCTTTGTTCGCTAGGTTCTTAATTACTTTCATTCCATCAGCGCATTTTCTTTATAATAGCTTGTTGAGTACTACCGCTAACCTGTTTAATATCATTTGAACATCCTATTTTATTAAATGGTTGTGTGTAATTCAGTGTGTATATATATGTATATTATAGGTAGCAATTTTAACAATAAAATATGTAAATAAACCTCTATTAATTGGATTCTAGTCTTTGTTAACTAGATGCATATTACAGAACGCGTTTAATTTATAAATACGCTAGTATGGTATGGAATAACTGGCGGCGTCCTAATTTTAGTCAACTTTCTGTAATAAAATCCCTATTGCAAAATAATATTAGTATTTGCATTCTAAACAATATACGATAATTCGTCTGACTTTTTTGCCATACATTAGCGCTAAAAACGAAGTTTTCTCGTCTAATTTCAAGTCAACGGGAAAAAAAGTCTATCAATCTAAACAAGAAAATAATTTAAGTTTTGAAACCAAAGTTACGAATGATAAATAAAATAATTATAATTTGTTAAAAATAATGATAATTAGTTAAAAAGATTATAATTTTTTAATTAAAAATAATGATAATTAGTTAAAAAAGCGTAGTGAGGTTAGATGCTAATGTTGCGATGATGCCTGATATAATTTCTTTAACCGCCCTTCAGTTTGGTTGCGTCTTTAGTCAATTTTGAGAACCTTTAAAATTATAAAACAAAAAGTACTGGTCTGTGATGCCTGAGGCTAATTCGCTGTCATAATCTTTTTGAGTTATAGCTAGCAAAAATGTTAATTCTATTATTGTTTGTATATAATATTTTATTATTTGTATATATTCGTTAATTACTATTATGCTACATACACTATAACTATTTTTATTATTATAATAATAATTGCTATGAAAGAGATTTTGAAACCGGAACACCAAACAAAGGTAATCATTAAAACACTTATGATTTAATTTGACTTAATTGTACTCATCAGAAATAAATTCGGTTTTGTCAAGACACCATTTTATTGGAATCAAGGCAACCGATTTCCTAAATTGAAACACCTTGATTCATTAATCTAAAAAGCTTGTTTCTTTTAATAAATACCAGGTAAAATCAATAAAATTTTTTTTTTCATTTTACAGTGACAATTAAAACGATTCTTTTAAAACTTATAGGATTAAATTGCACGAGGAAAATTGAATTTCTTCAAATAAAAAACTACAAAAAGTCGTTCTTTTGTTTTATTAATTAAATATCATCAAATAAAGTATTATTTTTGATAATAAATTGATTTTGTTTAGATACATTAGGTTTAATTACATAATTAATTACAAATAAATAAATGCTTGTTGATGAAAATAAAAAACTGAAAGAAAATGGGATTTTAAAAAATTTGAAAATACGTTTTCAGTTGAAAAAATGAATTTTTTAATATACTGTTTAAAAATAATCAAAATTAAATTCTTGAGAAAAATCAGTATTTTTTAAAATTTTATTATTCCATAAAAATGTTCCGCAAAATGAAATAAAAATTTTTTCAAAAGTAATTTGGGAAAATAGCTGTATAAATAAATTATTATTCTTTAAAATATATTTATTTCTATTTTTGTGTGTACAAGTTACGAAAAGAAACAGGTTATAAGTGGCTTTTACATTTACAATATTCTTTGTTTAATGTATTTAATACCTCAAATGTATTGAGAGTTTTCATTTCATTTAAAAGAGGGCAAATTGGTCCTTGATATTTATGCTACATGCTTCTGTTGCTAATAGAGTTCACACTCTTCGAGGCCAAATGAAATAGTTGAAGTGAAAGTCTCTAATAAAACTGCAATATCCTACGTCAATGAATGCAATTTTAAAGATATAATAATTATGGCAGAATTTAATTTTCTAAACATTAAATGGTCCAAAGGTGTTGTCAAATGTATTGAAAACAATGGTAACTTTCATGAATACATATGGGGTATTATAATATATCTATAACAAATAATAATAATAATAATAATAATAATAATAATAATAATAATATATATATATATTATATATATATATATATATATATATATATATATATATATATATATATATATATATATATATATATATATATATATATATATATATATATATATATATATATATATTGAGATACAGAATATTAACTACATACATTAAATAGATATATATATTGAGATACATATATAGATACATAGATAAGATGAGATACATATATAAACAGATATATATATTGAGATACAGAATATTAACTACATACATTAAATAGAGATAGTAATCAAGAAAAATAAATAAATAATAAATATTGAGTACGTAAATCAATATGGTCAACGTTCGAAAAGGAGAATTTGATACGTTCAAAGAAGAGACTAACAAAAAGATTCTAGCACTGGAAGATCTGGTAAAAAAATTACTATCTAAAAATCTTGACTTAGAAAAGAAATTGAAGTTCTTAGAAGATAATCAAGCTCAAATTATTAGCAAAAGTAATCAAATTAACAGCAAACCACTTTTTAGTAGCTTGTTTCATAACAAATCTCTTGAACCAGAAGAAACAAGAATACTAACCGCAATTTCAGCTGAAAATAAAGAAAAATCTAGAAGAGAATACAATTTGATCCTACACGGTCTTGATGAATTAAATAAATCAACTGAAGAAAATATACAACATGAAAACGAGCAAATAAAAAAGATCTTTAATTACCTGAAGGTCGATGAATCATTTATTAAACGACACCACCGCCTAAAATCAAAAACCGACAAACCTGGTATTGTAATAGTAGAATTAAATAATAAAGAAAAAGTTGCAGACATTTTAAAGTCAGCAAGCAATTTGAAATTTAATGTCGAATATAAAAATAAAGTATATATAAATCAGGATTTAACATTTGCACAACGTGAAAGCAGAAAATTGCTTCTAAAAGAAAGAGATCGTTTAAATAATGCTGATAATAACCAGCCCTTTCGGTATATTGTCAAAAATGAGTCAACTGTCAAAGTCAAGAAAAGTGAAAAAACTAAAAATTAATTCATTATCTAGTGTAAATAAAAACAAATCTGACATTATTTTTCCATTTAATAAAAAGTCTAACTATCTTAAGTTTTGGTATACAAATTCTACGTCTTTAGTAAATAAAATAACAGAGTTTGAAACAAAAATTATGATCGACTCACCAGATATCATACTTATTTCTGAAACATGGTTCAAAAATGACTTAATTATAAATATTAGCAACTACAACTGCTTTTACAATAATAGAACAAACAAACAAGGTGGAGGTGTTGCAATTTTTACAAAATATGATATAATTGCTTATGAAGTATCAGTTTTACCTTTATATAAAGAAGTTGAACAAATATGGTGTAGCATTGTACTTCATAAAACAAAAATATTAGTTGGATGTATATACAGACCACCAAACAGTACTGACCTAATAAATAATGCAATTAATGAATTAATAAAAACTGCAAAAAAGGAAGTAATGAATGGAAAATACTCAAATGTATTATTGTTGGTGATTTTAATTACCCAAATATTAATTGGAATGAAGACGGAACTATCGAGCTAAAGCAAAACTGCCAAACAAGCAGAGCATTTATTAATAACTTGCAAAACAATTATTTACATCAAGTAGTTAACAAGCCAACTTTTCAAATGGCTGTTGATAAACCAGCAAATATATTAGATTTAATAATATGCGACGATCTAGATTTAATAATTAACATTGAATATGATGCTCCACTTGGTCAAATTACTAAAAGCCATTACATATTAAAATGGGAAATTAACATACTCAATTCATATGAGAAAAAATTCAACAATAAGAGATTCAATTTTCGAAACGGAAAGTACAAAGAAATGAATCTCATGTTTTATAAAGTAAATTGGGTTGAAATCTTTGACAAAATGAATACAAATCAATGTTATGAATACTTTTTAAAAATTTATGAAAAAGCTTGCAAACAATATATTCCTCGCCACTTCAAACCCACTAGTTCTATCAAAAATCCATGCATTAATAAAAAAATCAAGAATCTAGTTAGAAAAAAACGTAGTTTATGGTGCAGAGTTCGTGCTATAAACTTCAAGAACACAAACTTAAATAATGAATACAAACTTATCAACAAAACAATTAAAAAACAAATTAAAAAATCTACTTTTGATTATGAAATAAACTTAGCAAAAGATGTAAAACATAATCCAAAACGCTTCTATGCATATGCACAAAGAAAAAACCAGACACATACAAAATTGCTAGCACTTAAAACTAGTGACAACAAAATAATAACTGATAAAAAAGTAATTGCTAATCTACTAAATTGTAGTTTCCAATCAGTATTTGTCAAAGAAAATCAAGATTTACCATATTTCAGCAATAAAACTAGTCATTTATTTGAATGTGACTGGGACCAAGAACTAAAAGAAGATATTATATTTAATTATTTATTAGAACTTAATGAAAACAAGTCACTTGGTTGTGATAACATCAGTCCCTATGTGCTAAAGCATTGTGCAGAAGGATTATCCAAACCTTTGTCTTTAATATTCAAGAAATCGATACATTCAGGAGAGCTGCCAGAATTATGGAAACCTGCAAACATTACACCACTTTTTAAAAAAGGAAACAAGAAAGATCCACTCTACTACAGACCTATCTCCTTAACATCGATACCAAGTAAGATAATAGAGAAAATAATTAGAAAAAAACTGATAATTTATATAACAGAAAACAATCTGTTAACGTCTCAACAACATGGATTTATACAAAATAAAGGGTGCCTAACAAACCTATTAGAAACTTTCGATATTATTACAACTGAAATTGAAAATGGTTATCCAGTTGATATATTGTTCCTAGATTTTGCAAAGGCGTTCGATAAGGTGCCCCACTATAGACTTATACATAAAATTTCTAACTATGGAATTAAAGGCAATATTTTAAATTGGATTGATTCTTTATTAAAAAACAGAAAACAAAGAGTGGTAATGGGTGAAGTTGTATCAGATTGGTGCGAGGTTTATAGTGGTGTACCACAGGGCTCTGTATTAGGTCCTCTTCTTTTTCTGTTATATATCAATGATCTTCCCCAATGTATCTCTTCAATCGCAAAATTATACGCTGATGATACTAAAATCATATCTGTTATAAAAGAACATAATGATCTAACTAATATGCAAAATGACATTGATTTGTTAACTGAATGGTCAAATGTATGGTTAATGGACTTTAACATAAATAAATGCAGTGTTATGCACATTGGAAGAAAAAATATTAACTATAACTACACTATAAAGCACGACAATCAAAGTTTTCTTCTAAAAACAACAACAAAAGAACTAGACTTGGGTGTAATAGTTTCATCCAATATGAAATGGAATCATCAGGTTCAAGCAGCTATAAGTAAAGCACAAAGAATCTTATGTTTAATAAGAAAAAGCTTTACTTATCTTAACACTGAAATGGTAAGGCAACTATACACATCGTTGGTTAGACCACACTTGGAATTCGCAGCTCCAGTGTGGAGTCCAAGTAATAAAAACAATATCAATGACCTAGAAAAAATTCAAAGGCGAGCAACAAAGCTAGCCCCTGAACTAAAACATCTAAGTTATACCGAAAGATTGACAAAGTTGGGCCTCACAACTCTGGAAACAAGACGTATAAGAGGAGATCTCATTGCTTTCTTTAAATTAACAACTGGGATTGATAAGATATTATGGCATAAAGAGCCTAATAAAGCTTCTTCCCAGAGACTTCGAGGTCATCCAACGAAATTTGAAAGAGAATTTGCAAAAACAACACCGAGACATAATTTTTTTACGAACAGAGTGATACCTCATTGGAATGCTTTACCTGAAAAAGTAGTTTCTGCAATGACAGTAAATTCTTTTAAAGCTAGGCTAGATAAACATTTGTTAACGGCTGTTAAAGTATAAATTTTAAACTTTATACTCCGCGACAATCTTCGTTACAGCAATTTGTATTTTTTTTTTTTTTATTTGCATTCACTCCCAACAAGGCTGCAAGCAACCACTATTAAGTTGGGGGTTACTAGGAAAAAAAAAGAACAGAGTTATAGAGCAAGGAAACGGTTGACAGAAGACTTAAAAAATTGAAGGTTGTATGAGTCAGGAAAACATGAAGATGGAGGAGAGTTCCAAAGGATTGAAGTGCGGGGAAAAAAACTAGATGAATAAAAGTTTTTAGAGCATGCAGGGACAGATACAGAAAACGAATGAGACTTAGCTGAATGACGAGTAAAACGAGAATGAATTTTAGTTGATGGAACTAGAGATGATAACTCCTTTGAGCAGTGACCATGATAGTATCTGTAGAAAAGAGAAAGAGATGCAACTTTACGACGATGGGAAAGAGGTTCAAGCTTAGCAGATAGTCCAGGTCCAACAACATTTACAATGCGTTTTTGGACCTTGTCAAGAAGAGAAAGTGAATCGTTAGAAGAACCAGCCCAAATATGACAACAGTATTCCATACAGGGACGAATAAGAGATTTGTAGAGGTAGAGAATGGAATCAGAAGTAAGGAAATGGCAATCACGATAAAGAGAAGCAACCTTAGCAGAAGCTAATTTAGCAATCGATTGTATATATGGTTTCCATGAAAGGTCAGTAGTAAGCGATAATCCAAGAAGACGTAAAGAGGAGGACTCAGTAAGAGGATTGCCATTCATTAATATAGGAATGTTGACCATATTACGGTAGTTGTTTGCAGTAAGCAATTGGGTTTTTTTAGAGTTGAAAATTAACAAGCCACTGTGAACCCCAATCTATTACTGAAGTGAGATCAGATTCAAGATCAGCTGCTTGTTCTAGGCGATCGAAAAAAGAAGACTTTTTGTCAAGACAAGAGTATAAAGTTGAGTCTCATCAGCAAAAAGAACTACTTTAGATGAAAGGTTGTCAGGAAGATCGTTTATGTAGATAAGAAACAAAACAGGGCCCAGGATGGAACCTTGGGGAACCCCAGAAGTTACTGGAGATAAAGAAGAGTGTTGGCCTTCAAGGATGACTTTAATAAACCAGTTAGAAAGAAATGATTTGATAATCTCAAAAACTTTCCCAGAAACACCATATGAAGCAAGCTTATGGAGAAGACCAGCATGCCAAACTTTGTCGAAAGCTTTAGATATGTCGAGAGCAATAGCCCTAGCCTCACCGCCTCCATCTAATGCACGATAAAATCTTTCAGTTACAGCAGTTAGCAAGTCGGCCGTAGAGCGAGAGGATCGAAAACCGTATTGATTGTCTGACAGCAGTTTATTTGACTCAAGATGAGATGTGAGGAATTTGTTGATTAAAGACTCAAAGACCTTGCTAATAACAGAAAGAAGACTGATCGGTCGATAATTGGAGGGGTCAGAATTTTCTCCAGAGTTTTTGAATATTGGAACCACAGATGCCATTTTCCAACAAGCAGGAAAAAAAGACTCAGTCAAACACTTGTTAAATAGTTTAGAGAGAATTGAAGAAAGTTCTGGAGAACAATTCTGCAAGACTGTGACAGAAATATTGTCTGGACCACAAGCTGTAGACGAGTTTAATTGAGATATGACTTTAGCAACAGAAGCCGGAGTGATTTGAATGTCTAACAATGGGTCAACCTGTTTGACTGGAATGGAAGGAAGAGAATGTCCATAAGATTCAAGAGTGGAATTAGAAGAAAAGCTCTTTGCAAATAGTTCTGCCTTATCCCTGGGAGAGGTAACAAGATCAGTCCCATGAATGAGAGATGGAATGTTAGATCTACCCTTGTTAACAATGCTGTTGAAGATTTTCCAAAAGTCTTTAGAGCCTAACTTCTGCGATAAAATGCAAGATTTAGTGAACTGAGAATAATGGAGTTTAGCATCAGAAAGCACCTTTTTACATCAATTTCTTGCAATAATAAATAGCCGTTTGTTCTCAAGAGAGTTGTTCTTTTGAAAAAGATGAAAAAAATGGTTACGATTGGATATAGCAGCCGCACAAGAAGGAGAAAACCATGGAGTAGAATGAGGCTTGACTTGAAACCGACGAGAAGAAATAAAAGCTTCCATTCCAGCCTGAATCCAGGAGGTTACGTAGGAGGCACATTTGTCAGCTGAGAGAGAAAAAACATCAGCCCAAGGACCATCACGAAGAAAATCACGAAAGGAATCCCAGTCAGCTTTAGGGTAGTAGTAGGTGGTGCGATGATAAGGTGAGCCCAAAAAAGAAGTACGAGAAGAAAGATTTTTAGAGGTCATTGCATGGTCAGAACCACCTAAGGGAGAAAAGGGAGAAACTGAACATAAGCTAGGGTCAGAGACAAGACATAAGTCAAGGAGTGAAGGTAAATGATTAGGGTTGTCAGGAAAACGAGTCACAAAGTTAACTATCTGAGTAAGAGATTGAGAAACGCAGAAGTTAAAGGCTTTAGTGCCAGCAGGATCAGTGGTGTTAGAACCAAGCCATTCAGTGTGATGGGCATTAAAATCACCAACAACAACAATATTGGCAGAGGGGTAAAGAGAGAGGGCATGGTCAATTTGATCAGAGATAACATCTAAAAGAGTGCAATCATGGGAAGAAGGAGAACGATAAAGAACAAAGAAAAAGGTGATAGAGTGAAGAGGTGCTAGGCGAAAGCACATAAAAGAATGGTCAAAGGATTCGAACCTAATTTCACGACAAATAGGTGAATTAATGCGTATGTATACCCCTAAACCTAGCATGTGACTATTGGAGTCTTTACGAATCAAAGGATAGTACCCATCAACACTGACATCTGAAGAAGGAATTGCAGAACTTAAATTTGTTTCACTGAGTGCAAGCAAGTCTGGTGAATTTTGCAGGAGGTAAGACTCAACTGATGGAAAGTTGCTTCGTAGACCGCGAATATTTGTAAAAGATATATTAAAATATTTAGGTGGTGGGGATGGTTTTTTAGGTTTTAAATTTTTGGTTACTTTGGTCATGATTTGGGTTTAATGAGAACTTGACTCATTCATAGATAGAGCACAGCCTCCTAATCAATGAGCTATGCAGTTGTCTCAGTCCTGTTAATTAACCCTAAGCCGTGACATAGGGCTCCTTATGTGGCCTCGACAATGCACACCAAAAGCATTAACAGGGACACCATCCATGCGCAACATGGCACTGTTAGTACTCTGATATTTTGCAGCTGTTGATGGAATCAGCCTCTCTGAGAGCTACCACAGAGTTCGGGAAACCTTACTACCAGCCGGCCTCAGAACCATTAAACTGAGTTTTAGAGCTGTACCCTCATATGGAGATAACAAGAAGAGTTGCATAGCCATTATCATAGAGGCATAAGCAAAATTCTATGAGTAGAGTCAAGGAGATCCAGCATTCATCATCCTAAGCAGGAAACAATGTAACACAGGTTACATCTACGCCAGCCTAATAGATGAAGAAGGGGTTCGAGGCTGGTTAGCAGAATTTTTCTTCTTACCCCTAAAATTATTATGTATTACTATTACTATTACTATATATATATATATATATTTATATATATATATATATATATATATATATATATATATATATATATATATATATATATATATATATATATATATATATATATATATATATATATATATATATATATATATATATATATATAATTCGAGAAATTCCACACTTCGGCTGCAGCTTTTGCCCTTTTTACAAATGTCGGACTATTTGTTAAAAACAAAAAAAAGCGGCTTTACTTTTTGTCCAATAAAATCCCGCAAGTTAGACATGAGTTTTAGATAATCTTTAACTACCTGTTTGAACCTTATTGTTTGCATGCCTGTTTAGCTCTAAGTTTATTACAATCTTTAAGAATACCCTTTCGGCCAGGCACCTATTAAATCCCTTCAGGCTTTATTTTTGTGCTGTAGTATTTTTGCTGGATTTAAAACCAAATAGCTTTATTCTAAATATAGTGATATAAAATACCTCGCAAAAATACTACCAATTCTTATCTAGACATTTATTAATTCAATTATAATCTAAAAATTTATTATTAGTCGCTCAAAAGCGCAACATAACAAAATAAAAATAAATATTGTTTACAAACTTTTTAAACTTCCATGTTTTATTTGCAATGCTTTAATCGTTTATGACGTTTTGAAACAATATTATTGGATAATTTTTGTAAAAAGTGGAATGGGATTGTTAAAGTTTAAACTATGACAATAACGCGGTGTTTAATAAGTGTTTAATACAACTAAGACTGATTCTTGAGAAATGACGTATTTTAACTTCGTTTTCCTCCAGCTATTATATCTCTTTAGATAAATCAATAAAAATGCCTAACGTAAATTGAGAATTTTCTAAAGAATTGCGCCAGAAGAAAAAGATTTGATAATAAATTAAAAAAAAAAGATTAGTCTCAAATCAGTACTTAATGAGTTTTTTTTTCTGAAATCTTCTTTTATATATATATATATATATATATATATATATATATATATATATATATATATATATATATATATATATATATATATATATATATATATATATATATATATATATATATATATATATATATATATATATATTAAATTCATCCAAATCGTTCACATTGATTTACGTCAAAGTTTTGCATTTCTCTTTTAAGTTTTGCATTTCTCCAGTTTAATTGATTCAGCTTCTTTACTCAACCTACTATAAGATTGTAAGAGCCATAGGAACAAAAACCTATTCGTCAAATTTCTGCAGCTTAAATCCTGTCTCTTGTTTTTTGAATTAAAGTATCGAAAACAGTATTAAATACGTTCACCTCAAACTGTTCCTCTTCATTTTTGTAGAAACGAATTTTGTTCTTGGCTTTTTTGTGAAAAGTCTTTCTATTGTTTGTCCTCTTTTGAACCTAAGTTTAATTGAAAACCATAACTTGGTCAACAGGATGCAATTAAATGAGCTTCATTAATGAATTTGGGCCCAGAAGACCAAGATCCCTAATAAGAATTTTCATAAGCTATGAAGATTCTTATCGAGGATCATCCCATCATCTTTGGAAATATTTTTTGATTGAAGTGAAACACTCACATCATTTATTTCTTGAAGAAATTTAAACCAAAAGGCTATCATAATGATGATTTCAAATGACTAAATTCATTTTTCAAAAGAACTTACATTATTCAATAGTTTATCAAATAGATGAAGGTCACGAAGCTTCTGCAAAATATAAGTACATCTATAGGTTGTCTTACCAACGGTTTCACAACCTCAATGTGTGCACTTCATTTGGTTTGCAAGGTTTGATAAAGAGACATACCTGTTTTTTTGGCCGAGGTTTTTTATTGAATAGAGCTTTCACTAAAACGATAGTAAAGTAAATGAACCAAAGTAGTTCCTCACTTCGTAAACGTATATAATATTTTTTGCATTATTTTTAAATGTAAAGAAAACATATCTTCTTTTGTACTCCAAAATTTTTGCGTATTAAAACCAAAAATGAATTTGATTTACGAATTTGATTACTAGTATCTCAAAACTTCTTTTTGTCAAAATAAGTATAATTAATTTTGTATTTCTTATCGTGGTCCATATTTATGGAATAAAATAGTTATATCTAATATAAATTTTTTCTATTAATTTGACTTATTTCAAAAAAATTTAAAAGAAATTATTTTTTTACTAGAAAACATCTTTATCTATTTATAAAAATTAAATACTAGTTTTATCTTAAATTTGTTAATGTATTTAACTTAGAGAGTGAATACTAACAGAGGAAGTTAAATTCCAAGGATACAGTACCCTCAAACCGCCACTCGATTTGTGTAATAATGCTGTCAAACACGAGGTTGCACTGGAATCTGAATTCTGTTTTTGCTGCGAGGAGCTGAAAATTGTCTTCAGCTTCATAAAGTGCCATCCTCTCTACTTTCCTCTTTATTGGAAAGTTACCTTCTATTCCTATCTGGTTGGCTATTTCTGCGGCATATATGGAGTGGACAATATCACTGCGTGATATTGTCCACTCCAACATTTCTCAAGTTCTGAATGGAATCATTTTCAATAATTTTTTTTTTTTTTGCTGGAACATCAATGGGATTGTGGATAATGGATTCCAAAACTTGGAGAACTTTTTTGATTCATCTCTGAAACGGTGTGATTGTTTTATTTTTGGCAGATCACCTTTGTCATTGTTTCCCTTTAATGAGATAGTCAATTTTTTTATCCGTTTTTCCCATCTTGATGTAGAACTTGAAAAAAAGTTAAAGATGGATTGAACTTTTTCAAAAAATGTAACCATAAGCGGGAACACCTCAGCAGCATGGACATCAACAAGATTTAAAATGTGAGCTACACACGGAACAAATCTTGATGGCTCACAGAGAGAATGAATGTGAGCTTGGACACCATTGGATTTTTTAGACAAATTGGTTCCATTGTCGTAACCTTGGCCGCTACAATCAGAAATTTTTAGACCATCCTTCTCTAAAAACAAAATAATGTTGCTGTACAGCATCCAATGCCAAAAAAATTTTTTACCATTGGAATGAACTTTTTAATATCACTTTGTGCTGAAGTGTCGCATTCTAACGTCAAATTCACGGTGTGTGTTTGAGAAAAGTTTTCTTCTTTCTTCCTCTGGCTCATGATGAATCAAAAAGCATTTTATTTTACTATTTTATGTTACTTTAGGCCATATTTATGTTACTTTAGGCCATGTTGTTGGATCCAGAGCCGTCCTTAGAAAATGCGAGGCCTGAAGCAAAACATTTTTGTGAAGCTTTTTTAAAAGAAGTCTCGTCATTATAAGCGAAAAAAAAGTTATATTTCTTACTGTCTTAAAAGGGGTTGTGTAAGTGCAAAACATAAATTTCGGGTTGGTATAATTTTGAATAGTTATTTTCATGTAAGTTGAAAAAAAGAATGAGCGCTTTATAAAATAATCTAGAATAATAATAACAAAGCTTATTCTTAAAGTTATTATAAGCCTAATAATATAAAATAAAATTTTTTATCCGACAAGAAATAAATGAATTAGAATAATAAAATAATTTTTCTTTGTTAGGTTATTATTGAATAATCAATTATAGATAATATAACATATAACTACAAAGTAATAGTGCTATTTGCACATATTATGTTTTTAGGCAATCGATATGAAGGGTGCTAATGGGTAGGTAGATGTTTTATAATAAATTTTTACATCAGGAAGCCTTCTACAAGACAATAGCCGGTTGCATTTAACGTCTGTTTAAGATGAGTATTTTTATAGAGACACTATCTCTAGTCTTTTTTAACCAAGAGCTCCAAGGCAGAGGGTGTTTTAAGCCAGATTTGGCTTCTCCTAGCCTTTGCCTAAAAAAACATATCCTACATGGCAACAGGACATGAAGCAGGTTTTACTGGGTTAAATGTTACCAGTATCTGGATAATCTGACTGAGTTGTGTGGTCCACAGGATAATCACTTGGAAATTATTGATTTAAGAGTCAAAGTAGATTTACAAGTACTTATGAATCACACCGCTGAAAAAATTGTAAAAAAGAGGCAAAATTAAATAATGGACTATATAGATATCAGTATATTTTATACCAACCCGAATTCAAAAAATGGAGAGTAAGGAAAAAATTCAAGACAAGATACAGCAAAAAAAAAATTCATCCAGCCATTAATGTTTATAAGAAAGCATCTCAAAGTTAATTTCCCTGCAGTTACTGGGGCAGGAACATCCACAACCGAAAATATTAGCAGAAAAACGTTCTCTGACCCAAAAGAACTAAGCAAAATATTAGGGATTAATGAGACAGTTTTTAAAACGTTCAAAAATTTCCTAATAGCAATAAGTTGTCAGCAAGTATTGAATCTAGAGTTATTTGATTTATACTGTAAAACAGAACATTGTTGATATTTAGTTTTGCATGATTGGTATAAAATGCCAAGATATTGGTGAACTGTTGTTCACCAATATCTTGCAAATGGAACAGAAATAATGATCAACTCACCAATTCCCATGGGAGTTTTAGCCGAAAGAAGCATCTGAACGCCAAAACAAATATTACAGACGACATCCTGAACTACATGCTCGTAAATGTTTGAGACAAGGAAATTTTAAAGACAATAAGCCGTGCAGTGAGATCCTCCGATCCTCAAATCAGTTCGATCTACTTGGAATCTAGACTGACGAAAAATGTTATTTTCAAGTTTCCAGAAGAAGTAAAGAGTTTTTTAACTTTAGAAGTGGACAATAAAGAATCAATAAATAAAGAATCAATAAATAAAGAATCAATAAAACTGTTAGAAATAAAATCATTAGAGTTAGAATCATCGGAACCAACAGAAATTATTAATTTAGAAGATAATATTTTGAAACGATTAGAAGCTATTAAAGATAAAGACATTTACGTGTTAAATAAATTTAGCCTTATTAATGCTACATTTAAAATTAAAAATTATTACACGAGAATTTTTTTGAAAGTAAGTTTTTCTTTGCATTTCTAATGCAATTTCAAAAGTTATTTTTTAATATTTTCTTATCTTTTTAAAATTATAACAAGCTTGTAACCATTTATCAAAATAATAGTGTTCTTTTCAGTATTTATGGCCTGCTACACAGTTTCCTAATTAGGTCTGTGAGGGTAATGAGTTATCTTTACAAGCAACCTGCTTCAACGAAATAATATAATTAATAATAAATAATATAATCAGTGGTGTGGCTAGTAGTTCAGAGTCAACCGCCCAAAAAAACCAGTAATTAGGGTCCAAAAAATCTTTAAAAAAATATTGTTTTACGTATTACTATAAAAAAATCAGAAATTTTTACTTTTTTAAAAAAATTCTTCAAATTGGGTCAAAACATGGCGCTGTCCAGGTGTTTAATTTAAATAAGTTAATAAATTGTTTGTTGAATTGAAAAAAAGTAAAAACATAAAATAAAAGTTATTATTTTCTTCAAAACTATTTTTTGCCACCCATTTGTATGAATCTCGACATAGTGACGCGTCCCCTCTCATGTATTAAGTACAAAGAAAGTGACGCGTCCCCTCTCATATATTAAATACAAAGAAAGTGACGCGTCCCCTCTCATGTATTAAATACAAAGAAAGTGACGCGTCCTCTCTCATGTATTAAGTACAAAGAAAGTGACGCGTCCCCTCTCATGTATTAAGTACAAAGAAAGTGACGCGTCCCCTCTCATGTATTAAGTACAAAGAAAGTGACGCGTCCCCTCTCATGTATTAAGTACAAAGTAAGTGACGCGTCCCCTCTCATGTATTAAGTACAAAGAAAGTGACGCGTCCCCTCTCATGTATTAAGTACAAAGAAAGTGACGCGTCCCCTCTCATGTATTAAGTACAAAGAAAGCTTGTGATTATTATTTAAAACATGTATAGGGGAGATTATGGTCATCAAAACATGTATAGGGGAGATTATGGTCATCAAATAAATAAATACGCAATTTCAACTGATATCATAAATGCTAACAGTTTGACCAGGGTGTGATAACATTTATGAATCCAGGCTACTATTGTAAAAATGTTTAAATGACTCAAATACAGTTCCGCCAAATAGTTGAAGTTTATTTGATGTATGTGGTGGCAGCGTAAGAATGACAATTCCATTTTCCTTGCTGTAATTATTCCGACTATAAATAATGGAACTTGTGATTGTCCATGATCAATAAAACAATAATTGTGCAGAAAACTTTTTGAAAAAAAAATCCGAACTACTAATAAAAATCGTTGGAGCAGGTTACTTATCTTTACAGCAGGTTACTAAAGATAACCTGCTGTAAAGATAACTCATTATCCTCACAGACCTGTTTAGGAAACTGTGTAGCAGGCCATAAATACTGAAAAGAACTCTAATATTTAATTAGTTAATTAGCTTACGGCAAACTTATGCGATTTAGAAAAACAAACTTGACAACTGTTAAGTTTCCCTTTAGTTTGTAAACTTCTTTTAGTTTGTTAAAAATGTTACCTGTATTTTTGAAAATGTTTTTGACCATGTTTATCAAATTAATTATTTTATTTTGCCCTTGGGCAAGTGCATGCACTTGCGGAAATTTGAGGAAAGAAAAACTTTCAGAGAAACCAATAAAGGGTCATTGAATAATTACGTAACACCAAATATGGCTATTTTTGAACCACCCACTCAATCACGTTTAGTTCACGATTTTGGGGTAATTTTTTTTAAATAACTAAATTTAAATTTTTCATATTCAGCCGTACGTATTAACTTCTTTTATCAAATTTTTTTTTATATTTTTTGATTTATGTCGTGATTACATGGTTTTATTGATCATGGACAATCACGAGTCCCATTTATCTGTAGTCGGAATAATTACAGCTAGGAAATTAATGGAATTATCATTTTTACGCTACCACCGCATACATCAAACAAACTTCAACTATTTGACGGAACTGTATTTGGGCCATATAAGCATTTTTACAATAGTAGCCTGGATTCATAAATGGTTCTCGAAGGATCAGGTGAATAACTCTGGAATATGAAGAGATATAAGCATAATGAAACTATACGAATTTAAACATTTTTTCTAGCACTCCAATAAAATATTTAATTTTAATTCGTTCCATAAAACCCTGCGACTCTGTCAGTTAGTCGTGCTTCGATTTTCATAGATATCCAAGAACATACTTATTAACTAGATTTTTTTAATCCTAAATGAAAAAGCAAATCATTAAAGCTCTCTAAAACGTCTTGAGTTTTTAATAGGAGCATTGGAAAAAATAACAATTTTTACCAAGTAAACTGGCCAATATTCAGTCTTCGTATTTAAATAAGGTTAATAAGATTCACAACTCACTCGTCTTTATTCCCTACTATATTAGATCATATTTGATAATCTCATTACATGTCATAACTGTCATGCACATGACATAACTGTCATGTGACTATAATTTCAATTTGATATTTCATAATAGAACTTAATGTGAAGTTTATTAAAAAAAAGTTTATTCGCAATTTTTGGTAAAAATGATTACTTATTTTTTAATAAAATGACAATAATACTTTGTTTGTTTTTAAAAAGTATAAGCAATTACATACAAATTTAATTTAAATTTTTTCTTTTATTTGTATAATTTCTATTTTGAAACTTAAGAGTCTTTGTAGTATTTGGGTAACGTGTTATTATTAGCTTATATTAGTATATTAGTTTTTTATTAGAATGAGGCAAAAATCATTAGCTTGAAATAGTTGAGTTATTGGATTTTCTTGAAAATTTCAGGGACTCCTTCAAATTATTTCATAAAAAAAACCTGGAAATTTGAGACCATAATTTAAAGCGGTTCAAAGGTTACTGCGATTTGAATTTTTATAAAACGTTGACTTGGTTGTTTTTCAAAATTTTCCATGTTTCGATGTAGCAATTTCATGCAGTTAAAAAAGTTGTTTGAAATGAGAGGAAGTGCTGATTTTTTATAAACAAATATAATATCAAGTTATATACATTAGGAAAAAAAATGGTTTTTAAAAATATCTGTAACATACTTTTTCCCGTTACCCAAAACTACCCAAGGGGTGTTCAATAACGAAATTTGTATTTTTTTTTTTTGTTATTTAGGTGTCCCAAGAAGACCTAACGCTCTTGTCACTGAGCACCGCGGAAGTACATTTAACCAGGAAGTTTACTCCTCCTTCCTTACCATGATGCAAAAATATTTCCAGAGCTCATTTCGAACCTGGATCTCCTGCTTATTTAGCTAGCGCTGTAACCACTGCGCCACGGCCACAAACTACTGCGCCACGGCCGCTTTTGAGCACTAAGTCTATGGTTAATCAAAGCTTATATTAGTATATTATAAGTTTTTAAGAAAGAAAGGCTGTTGTTTTTTTTATTGCAAATATTGCCAAAGTTATTTAAAACTCAATATTAGTCTAAAATTCATGTCTGAAAACCTTTCTTGCTTTAAAAACGGTAAAATTTATTCTAACTTTGAGAAGCGAAAGATCAATGTGCCAACAAGCTATTGAATTACAGTTTTTTGAAAATTTATTTATCACTTCCAAGTCGTCTATGTTAAAAAAAAAAAAGCTCCATAAGTTTTTGCTCAGGAATGTTTAATATCTTGTGGATGTTACACTTGTCTTCAATAAATTCTTGTTTAGGGTATGCCAATAAAAGGTCTAATCCGATATAACCATGAGGTTGATAAGCACATCATCATCGTCATCTAGTATAGTTGTTATTTGGCCAACAGAGTGATTTGTTTGATTTTCAAAACTCCTTGCAGAAAGAAAAAACTGCCCAACGTTTACATTATTTAGTTTCTCAACATTGGCCAAATTTCGTTAACTACATTTTCACTGTCATTTGCAAATACGTTTTCTTCTAATTCTTCTGTAAAGTCCTCAATAGCTTCAGTTTTTTTAGGTTTTTTAAGTAAACTTTGTTAGTATTTTTTGGACATTCTGCTAAATGAAATGATAACTTGCTGTCGACTAAAGTATTGAGTAGAAATAAATGATTTGACACCATTTTTATCTTTTATTGTCCTCATTTTGAAGAGAACTTTTTTTGGTGTTGTTTTTGTCCTGTTACTTCTCCAGCTTTGAACTCTTTATATAAGAAATTTTTTTGCTGAGTTGTAAATCTTGTATGCTTACGTATAGGTATAGCCCATCCTGTAACATCAATATTGCGCTCAAATTTAAATTTACTTTCAGTAACTATCGCTTCGGCATCAATTTCTTTGAGATATTTGGACGAACAAATGTGCAAATCAACATGATGTAATAAACTTGAATCCATTGATGTATGTTTTGGGTGCTGTGGGCATTTTCATTTTGATAGTTTCGAAGGTCAGCTTCAGTATCAAATAACATAAGACCTGACGGCTCACTGCAATGAGGACACCAGTGTTAAGACACCAATCTTTTCGTTTTTTTTTTAAATTTCTATTCGCTCTAAACTTTTCTCCACCAGCAAAAGGTTCTATCTCTGTTAAACCAGAAACAAATTCTAATCCTGAAAACTGAACTCTTTTGCCTTTACCACAATTAAAGTATTGCCTTAGAGTCATTCCAGTATTGTTATATTAAATTGAATGAATTGAACTGATATTCGTTATTTTTCTATTATTAACTGAATTTAATTTGTCAATTTCAACCAATGATACTTTTAAATCTTTTGAACCTCCAAAAAACAAAATTCCTTTCTTAATATCCTGGGCTGACGTACAATTATTACCAGCGTTGATATATGCATTAATATATCTATTAGCAACAGCACTTTTGCAATCACATTGGTCTTTACCTTTTTGTGACTCATTATAATCATATCTTAAAAGTTGTATGTCTTTCACCTAGCAAAGGTAAAACAAAGTTTTTCCAACTGAGTTAGCTGAATAGCACCCTAAAATAAAAAACAAATAAAGATTTACAAATTTTAGTTGTAGATAAAAACTATATATCATCATACATTACAAGAACCTAAATTCTTCTCCACCTAATATCCAATTAAATTGCTAGACTTTTGTTTTTTAGGAATAGTTATATTCTTACCAGCATTATCACATTTTTAGTAAATTTGTTTCAAACTTGGAACGTCTTGAGTATACTGGTTAATTTGGCTCATAGCATACTCTTTGACTTTGTTTTGTTGTACATATCGAAGAATATGCTTCCTCCAAAAATATATAGATTTAATACCTTTGAGAGTATCGCATTTAAGTTCTTCTTTCTCTTCATTTTCGATTCTGGATTATATTTTCAATCATCTCTAGATATTCTGCAAGTAACGTGCAGTCACGACACTTTTCCGGATGAGAAGAGCAAGTGTTTGTTATAAAGTCGTTATCTTTAGAATTACATAAAGCACAGCTGATACAGTGTGAAGCAATATTTGATTCTTCTATCCAATGTAAACTATGCGTGGTCTTTAAATATCGCTTTACTTTTTCTTAACGTTTTTCTATATCTTTTATAGTATGTGCATCTGTAGACGCATTGGCAACACATTTCATTAGAGAAATAAACCCATTTATGCCTTCACATGTCGTATAATCAAGGGCTACTAGTGAACGCTGTTGGCTTGGTTTAATTGATTAATAAATTTTCCAGAGCAATGAAACTGATAATACAGATTGGTTTATTGATTTACAATAGTTTTAATACGAGTTTATGGTTTGCCACTTTGCCATTGTTAGAACAGCTTTAGGGAGTACCTACAGAATGAAAGTAAATATCTAAAATAAATTAAGTCAATATTTAGAATGCTTTGTTAATATTTTTAATACTCGTTCTTGAAAACAATATATTAGAAGTTGTGCGTCATAACATACAATATGATCGATTTGTAAACGGCATCAGAAATCATCAAAAATTTTATATTTAATGTCAAATACCTGAACTTGGCATTCTAGAAAAATAAGATGTATGTAAATAATGTACCTGTTGATGTCCATCGGTTAAAGTAATTTTGCTTGTTCCATAAACGATATCTTGAATAAGTCCTGATGTAAATATGTATCTTAGGAAGTGTTTTTCAAGTTCTATATTCATTTTTTGACTAGTTAACTTCTTGTTTTATTTAAAAAATAGTGCTCCTGCTTCCTTTCTTTGCTTCCTGGCCAAATTAACTGCGTACCAAAAAAAAACTTTTTTTTTGAGAATAAAAAAATAATTAATCAATTAATTGTTCATTTAAATAGCCTTACTTGTTAAATTTAAAAGTTTTCATGAGATATTCTTTTGAATAATTTAGTAGTGGTGGTATTGTGGATAAATAAGTACTTTTTGGCTGAATGTTTAAGTATTTTGATAAGCTTCATGTAGCAGTTTGAAATCATCTGGAATAAATGATAATGGTTGCGTCGAGTCTTCAATAATCTTCAAAAATTGGCCTCCTTGTCCTGATGCTACTTTTTCAGAATAGATTTTTTTGAAGTTATCGTCAGCTTCATTGAACTTTTTTTGATTGTAGAAGTTGATGCCTCATTGATATGTGTTTTTCTAATATAAAAAAATTAAGGTAATTATTTTTATTTTTGAAAAGTGTTAATTATTTTAATTTAAATTGTAAATCTACTTTTTTAGAGCTAAAATAAGTAAGATATTTGAATTCAGGGTTCACAAAGAAACAAATTTTAAGTTTTAAACAACTTACAGAGACGAATCAAAGTTGAAAATTTTGATTTATTAAATAGCTACAGATTTAATAAATCAAAATTTAAAACTCAATAATAGCCTAAGACATGGTTTTTAGACTATTATTGAGTTTTCGATACATGATTTTTAGACTACTATTTAGCTTTTGAGACATGGTTTTTAAACTATTGTTGAGTTGTTGAGACATAATTTTTAAACTATTATTGAGTTTTTGAGACATGATTTTTAGACTATTATTGAGTTGAAAATAACTTTGACTATATTTGCAGTAAAAAAAAAAAAAAATTTCTTTCTTAAAAACTTATAATATACTAATATAAGCTTTGATTAACTAGAGACTTGGTGCTCAAAAATACAATGGGAAAAAATATGTTGTAGATATTTTTAAAACTCAATTTTTTTTCTTAAAGTATATGACTTGATATTATATTTGTTTATAAAAACTCAGCACTTCTTCTTACTTCAAACATTTTTTTTAACTGCATGATGTTGCTACATCGAAATATGGAAAACTTTGAAAAACAGCGTTTTAAGAAAATTTAAACCGCAATAAATTTTGAACCGCTTTAAATTATGGTCTCAAATTTTGGATTTTTCTTATGAAATAATTTGTAGGAATCCCTGAAATTTTCAAGAAAATCCCATAACTCAACTATTTCAAGTTGCCTCATTCTTATAAAAAACGACTCTTAACGACGTATGGCTTCAAACGAACTCAATTGTTGAAACAAGTATTATATATTCAAATAATAAAGTTTTTTCACTTTATTACTTGAGGGTTGTAAAAACTGATGATAAGACGTTCTTTATACATGGCGTTCTTTATCAGATAATTTTTAAACTTTATATTATTATTTTTTTTTATTGCAAATCTTTTATGAATAAATTTTAAATATAAAAATATTAATTTTATCAATTTTTAATCCTACTATTGCAATTGATTTTTGAAACCTTTCAGACAAATATAATTCTTTTGTTATTAATTCCTCTATTAAAGATGTTTAATATGCGATATTTTAAATAGCTTGAATTTGATATAACCTATCCGTTTGATTAAAGTTTCATTACAAAGTAATTATTGACAGAGCTTGATTTAAAGTTCTTTTTATAGAAGAGTTTGATGTTTCATAGAATTAATTTAAAGAAGGTAAATTTCTCTTAATAAATATACAATTGAAATATATAGATAATTAAAACTACAGTGAATTTCATTTTTAAAATATACAATTACAATATTTCAAATTAAATTTAATACTTATAAGTGTAAAATCAAATCTCTCAAAAATAATATTTGATATAACTAATACATTTACTAGCTATCTATTCGTCTGTTTAGGGGATTGAGACTGACAATTTACTAACTTCATGAAATTGATATTTTCAATTTCAATTTCACCCTACTTATGTCTAGTTTTATATACCAGAAAATAAATCAAGATGATTGCGATGAGTTTGCATTTGATTATTTAAAAGGTAATTTTTTAATTTAAACGCCTAAAAATTTCCAAGTTCCTTGTGCTCAATACATTTGCAGAGGAGTTGCCGAATGACTGGATGAAACTTGCGCATTCCTTGAAAATCAGTAGTGAAGAAATAGATAGAGTTTTACATAAATACGAGACAGCTCGAGAACAAATTTTTGAAGTTTTTAATAGCTGGTGAAGAAAAAATCCAGAAAAAACATGGGGCGATCTAAAATCTGGATTGATATTATGTCAACGAAATGATGTTATCTTTAAATGCGAAATAAGTGAGTTTTCTTGTTTTAGCTTTATTTGTTATATAGTATTTGTTGTTCCGTTTTTTTTAGTTTTACTTTTGATAAAATGAAAAAGGTTAAAGTAAAGAAGCAAAATATAGTTTAAAATATATGTTATAATAATGTCACATAACATTGTATCATACATAATATAGTCAAAACTACAATATTTTATTTAAATTTTATGATTTTTTTTTAAATTTTTGTTTATAAAAGGTTAGTTTAAGTCAAAAAGTCATTAAAAAGTCATTAGGCAATTAGACATATTTGCCCTTGGTAATGTTTTAGTGTTAATTTAATTTAGTATTTTTGATATATAGAGATTTCAGAACACAAAAATAAATTTTTGTATTCTGAAATTTTTAATGTATTTTAGCATGTATGAGTGGTAGCAATTCTAAGTAAAGTCGATTTTCTATCTAAATAAATTTAACAATTGTTTATTTTGAACTCTATACTTTGTCATTATTAAAGAATTGCCTAATTTGAACTCTATACTTTTTTATTTTAAAATAACTGCCTAACTTAAAATCTATACTTTGAAAAAGACTCTTATTTGATAAACTAGCTCATTAAGAAGATAAATTAGATTTTGTGAAAAACAAAGTCTCTGAAATGATTTGATTGACTGATTGAGAGACTACAGTATTCTTGACGACTTTAATGGCTTTAATAGCAGTTATTTGGAAGTTTTAGTGAAGCAATTGAATCCACGCGCTCAAATTAAGTAAGCGTAAAAAATTATTATATGGCTTCTTTTTTTAGTATTAATGGACTGATTTTTTGCTTTTTATTTCGTTGGCATAATAATAAGTGTTTTTTTAACCAGCTTTACTAAAATAAATAAAGTCCGGATCCGATTGGATATTAATTAAAAAACCATTTTGAAGAAAAATATTTTTTTTGTCTCACTGATATTTAAGATGATTTTTTGTAATAAGGGAGGTCAAAAATTACATAAATATTTTGTTGTTGTCTTTCGGTGATTATTTAGGTCCTTCCAGAAGTCTTTACGAATCTATCACAATGCACCCGCGGAGGAGCTTTTAACTAGAAAGTTTACGGCTCCTTCTTTACCAATTGAGACCCCACTGGAAGGGTCTTAATTTTCAACAGAAATAAAACAGCTTTTTAGATTACCCGTTTTAACTTGAAAATACGAAATATAAACATATCAAAAACTTTCGAATAAAAATCAATCAATTAAAAAAAAAAAACTAAAAATCGAAATTATATATGAATCGCTAACTTGAAAAAGGCAACATATCCAGTAAATATTTACATAACATGTCCCTTTTTTCAAGTTAGCGATTCATATAGCAAAGTTAAATGATAATAAAAGATAAAAAGAAGTTTGTATAGACTACACTATAAGTTTTATCTGCAAACATTGAAATACAATATTTAAAAAATTAAAAATATGGATTGGAATATAAATTTTATCTTATGTAAACTAAAATATTAAAAAAAAAAAAAGAAAACTGTCAAAAAAAAAAAAAAAAATGATTTTAAATAGTAGAGTAAATGAATTAGAGGATAGATAAAAGAATGAATTAGAGGATAGATAAAAACTAATTCTGGAAATGTTTATTCTTTGGTCCTACTTATTTATTGAGCAAGCATTTTGCAAATATTTTGTGATCATGTTGTGGCGAATATTTTCCTGAATAAGGCAATTTAAAATTTTAATACAAAATAAATTTTTATTTTTTTATTGAATGATCAAATTTTTGGTCGCGTAATATTTTTTTTTTTTTTTTTTAAATGGGCATAAAACTTTTGGAGAAAAAATTTGCTGGCATTGTATCCCTGTACAACTTTTACGCCTGTCAGAATCTATTTTAATATTAAATTTGCTATTTCCGGTAAAAGGTTATGAGTTAAAAACGGAAACCGTGAAGTATTGGGTTGAATAAAATACGCCAACTATTCGCTCGGTGAATAGGGCTTTTATTAACTAATTATGTCTAAACTGACAAATAAATCTTTATAAATTCTTCGTTCATCTTTTAAATTGGTTAATATGAAATCTGTTTTAATATAAAATATGCATCGAAAAAACTTACACGCAAAAAAAATAAAAAAACAAACACTGAAAATCAAGTCGCGTTTGAAGTAGTGTAAATAAAAGTGGCGTGTCAACGTGCGTGTCAAGCATAGGTCAAGCAATTAGCATGACCTATGCCGATAGTACTTAGTAGTTCAATTCACGGCTGTGGAGTTGGAGTCTGTGGAGTCGAAATTTCAACAACTGGAGTCGGAGTCGTTACTTTTTTTTTACGACTCCACACCCCTGGTTCAATCACAAGATTGCCGCAATATTTTGAATCAACTCTGGAAGATACACTCATCAAATTATCCTGTTGGAACTTTGCTAGAAAAAAAAAAGGCCTCATTCTGAAAATATTTTTTTGATCCTTGGGCGACCCCAATTGAGTTGACTTTAAAAACTATGTAATCTTCAAAACCGATGATATAAGGTTGTATTAAGTTTAGATATAAGGTGATATAAGGTTGAATTTAAAGAAGAAATAATTTCAACTAAACAGTTTTTTTTCGTTTTTTTTTTAAATAAGTTTATTTTGCCTTCTACAATAAATACAATTTTCATATATATATACAACAAATTAAGTAATGGCGGGAACAAGAAGAAGACATAATTCTGTCTTATCACTAAGCCCGATTTTTATAAAATCGTATTTATAAATATCATAATATATTGGCGTAAACATACAAAATAGTAATTGCTAAAAAGCTTATTATTATTATATGCAGTTGTAAAAAGGAAAAGAAGACAGCTGCAATTGTAAAAAAACAATTATATAGTTATGACAGATTTCACTAAAATAGGATTTATCTAGTCATATTAACACCCAATCTTAATCATATTAACACTCAATCTAGCAGATTTCACTAAAATAGGATTCAAATATTTTTGGCGACATTCCCAGCTTAGTTCTATGCATAAAAACTAAAATTTCATGTAAATTTATTTTATAAATATTTAAAGCTCCAAATAAACACAATAAAGGCTCACAGGTTTCTGCTCTATTTGCTCCAAATATAATTTGACATGCATGTTTTTGTTTACTATAAAGCTTTTTTAACTTTGTATGATTGCACTTGCCCAGATGATGTTACAGTATGTTAGGTAACTTTAAAAAAAAGTAAAGTATAAACCTTTTAGTGATTTAAAATTAAGAAATGGTTTAGCTCTATAAATCATTCCTATATTTCAAGAATTTTTTTTTTTAAGACTGTTTATATGAAAATTCCATCTTAAATTTTTGTCCTATTCAACGCCAAAAAAGTTTATCACATTACAAATAAAATACGGATTAGAGCATAAAAGAAAGTTATACTTATATTTCAAATATATATATTTCAAAGAAATAGATCTAATTTATTTTTTTAAAAATTGGTAAAAAGTTAACAAAAATGAGGTTTGTTTATTTTTATTTCAAACACTCAGCAGAACACTCTCATAGCTCTGTACAGGATAACCCTAAAAGTTTAGGGCTGACAACACGGGTTTTGAAGCAGAGAGAAACAATCTTTAATTTCTAAAAAGTTCTATATAAAACAATTTTCAATTTCTAAAAAAGTATGGGGGAGGAGGGCAGGTTCCTATAAAAACAGGGTCCTATAAAGTATGGGGAGGGGGGGGAGAGGACATTGCCCTTTCCCCCTATACTTTATAGAACCCTGTTTTTGTGCTCATACATATAAGACCCTGGTTTTGTGTTTTGTTTTTTTTTCAATTCCATTTAGTAGCTTTGGGTAAAATCTGATAAAATAAATAATTATATGCAAATATCGTTTTTAAATAATAAATGATTCAATAAAAAGTTTTGAATAGATTAATAATCCAATTCATATATTTAAAAATATATGTACCTTTATTGAAACACTACTCTTTTTAAATGCTAAAGGAGTGCATCTCTTGTAAATGGTAAGCCCTCACTCTGCCGTAATTTTTTGGTTAATAACATTCTTATATATAGCAAGGTCAATAGTAAAACTTGTCTTATCATAAAGTAGAATAACGTAGCATTCAAACAAGCGCAGTACATCAGGTAAAATAACTCTTGTATTTGGAGATGACAAGCTAAATAATAAAATAAAACAAAACATTCGACTAAATTTGCACGAAAAAGCTGCCTATGAGAAAATAATTTTAAAAGTCAGCAGCTGAGAAATCTAAAATTATACTGTATATAAATATAGTTTATGTGCAAAATGGTCTAATTATTTCTTCATCTCCATCTTCTAGAAATTCTATGCAGGTTTTTTCCTCCTTTCTGCAAATGGAGATATGGTATCACAGCCAGTAAATGCAAACCACAATGAAACAGTTTCTAATTTTTCATATATCTTTTGTGCGTTGTGAATTGGAAGCCATCTTTTGTGCGTAGTGAATTGGAAGCCATCATTTAACTTTTCCAACTCCTAACTCTGGTAAATTTTTAACTACTCATTTTTGTTCACATTTAATTGTAAGAACTGTGACCAGTTTTTCTAAATAGAAGTTGAATCAGAAACACATACTCTCACACCATTCCCACGACTCTCCCTAATATGGATTTTTAAACTACATTAAAATTAACGGTTAAACACTATTTCAATCTTTTTTTTATGTTTTTTTGATGTGATACTAATTATTTTTTCTTGGAACTCAACTACAAAATACTCTTACATTGTAATCAAATTTAATGGATAAAATATATAAACAATTGCAACTCTATCTAACGCCTTTGCAGTGATACATTCAAGAGAAGTCAAAGGAGATTCAGGAGAAGTCAAGGTTCCAAATACTCTTTAAGGCATTTAATCCAATTGTACTTACTACTCCGATTTATTAGTTTTTCGGAGTTTACCAAATTCAGATATTGCTGGTGGATAAGCATGGGAATGGCTGGTGGTGCTGGTGGTGTAAGCTGGTGAATAGAATATGCTGGTGGATAATTTTGGATATAGCATGCTGGTGGATAAGGTGGTGGATAAGCATAGATATGGCGGTGGATATAGTGGTATAAGCGTGGATATGGTGGTGGATAAGGTAGATATAACATGCTCGTGGATAAGCATGATTTTCATGTCAAAAAAATCATATAAATAAATAGGGGATTGTTTTTTATATATTAAATCTCTTTCAGTTAATAAACTATTCTGAATATAAAATCTGAATAATTCAATACTTATTTGCTTCGCTTTTTTAAAGGACGCCCTAGTTTCTGTGTCAATTAAAATCTTTGTTAATAAATGCATGAGAACATCTTCTTCTAAAATTTCCGAAACCTTTTATAACTTCAATAAACTCTGATATATGTTTGTTATAATTTTTTTTAATAGCAGGTGTGTCATCGTGCTGATTTTCTTCATAATATTTTCTTCTTCTCTAAATCTCTCTAAAAGCTCAGCTAATAGCGGCTCACATATCACATTTTATCAATGCACTTGGGCTACCTAAAACGTCAATTAAACCGCCATGTGTGTGTGTGTGTGTGTGTGTGTGTGTGTGTGTGTGTGTGTGTGTGTGTGCGATCTAAAGCAACAGGACTATTGTTTGTAACTCCATAGCAGTAAACTAATAATTAAACTGGGTATATACTGTTCTTTGTTGATGGATCCACAAGTCAAAGTGGTTTATATAAACCCACCAATAAATTGAATATAAATCTACTAATAAAACTTGTGTTGCATACCTTGAACATTTGAACTTAAACTTTTCGACCAGTGAGCATAAATTCATTTTGTCCGGAATTTGTTATACCAGCTTTATTTAAGACATCACATCAACCACTGCCTTCAAACTAATCTCCAACAAAAGATAAGAAGGCTATTTTTATGTATAACCCACCCATCATCGTTAAAAGTTTATCTTTGCCATACAGTCATACAGTTACGGGTAGTGCCACTGAGTTTGTTTTCCTAAAGCATACATAAGTTGGTCAGCAATTATTATTGGGATTTGATTTTGGTTGATTGAGTTGAATAGGTTTCTTTTCCCTATTACTCAAACCAAATATTTTAAGTGATAGAAAAAAGGATCCCATTCAAGTGAATGGTATCTTTTTCTCTATCAATTCTTTTAGTTGTTGACAGCAACTTCGACAAGTTTCATACTAGTATCACAATTTAAACTATTTTTACCATTATTCCCTCCACTATAGCCTAATTTCGGTCAACATTCAGAAATTTTAATTGGTTTTTGATAGGAAACATATTTTTTCATAAAATTTAATTTCAATAGATAAAAAACCTTCTATACGAAATGCGTAAAAAAATAAAATTTTATACAATATTTATTTCTTAAATTTAATTTTACAAGAAAGAATTTATCATTGATTAATGTATTTTTCAAATAAAGTCGGTTATCGTTTTAATCAATGAGAAAACAATAAAAATGGAGAAAACCTATCCATATATCAAAACTAATAAAAAGAAAAATATGTACCCAGCAAACAAAAAGATATCTAAAATGCATCTAATATGCATCTAAAAACTGGTCTAAAAGATGTATAAAATCAGGTCTAGAACGGGACATAAATAGACGTCTATCTTATAGACTTCTTTTAGATGCATTTTATTGAACACAAATAATTGCCTTAGATGCATAAAAGATGTGAAATATACATCTTACAGATGCATATTAAATGTATAAAATGCGTCTCTTAAATAGATGTCTAAGGCGCGTTTAAAAAAAATAGATAATAGATAAATTTTTTAGCTAATAATAGCTCTTTTATACATCTAATATACATCTTTAAATGTATATTTCACATCTTTTATGCATCTAAGACATTTATTTGTGTCGAATAAAATGTAAAAGACATCTATAAGATAGACATCTATTTATGTCCCGTTCATGACGTGAATTTAGACGTCTTTTAGACCAGTTTTTAGATGCATATTAGATGCATTTTAGATATTTTTTTGTTTGCTGGGACTTGTTTGATACAAAGGTGTTATAGCGGTTAAATTAGTCATAAAAATGATTAAATTAAATAAGTAAAAAAACATTTTAACTAAAATTACTTAATTTTATTTCACAAAAATATACATAAGAAACTATATTTCTGCATTGCCGTCAACATCTTCTTCCACGTCGCCCATATCTAAAATATATACATTAATGACATTTAAATTACTTTAAAAGACATGTAGAATTCTGAATAATCTATTTTTATGAAATATTATATATATATATATATATATATATATATATATATATATATATATATATATATATATATATATATATATATATATATATATATATATATGTATATATATATATATATATATATATATATATATATATATATATATATATATATTATATATATATGTATATATATATATATATATATATATATATATATACAATATTTCATAAAAAAAGATTATTCAGAATTCTACATGTCTTTTCTATATATATATACATATATATATATATATATATATATATATATATATATATATATATATATATATATAATATATATATAAATATATATATATATATGTGTGTGTATATATGTGTGTGTGTGTGTATATATATATATATATATATATATATATATATATATATACATATATATATATATATATATATATATATATATATACATATATATACATATATATATATATATATATATATATATATATATATATATATACATATATATATATATACATATATATATATATATATATATATATATATATATATATATATATATATATATATATATATATATATATATATATATATATATATATATATATATATATATATATATATATATATATATATATATATATATATATATATAAACAAGAAGATTTGTATCTCAACCAGATACAATAATAAACAACAATTGTTTTATGAAAAAACTAAAGGAACTTGTATTATGGATACAATTTTTTGTGTCATTCTAGCATGACACAAAAAAGTGGAAGAATATCTTTTTAATGCAGATATCAGTTTTGTAAATACTATTAAAACTATACCTCGTAAAACACTCCATATATATCTTATCTTTTCCCCATTTCCTTTTCATTTAATTTGGACCGTAATTGATTCGAAAATAACCTGATAAATATTTTAACAATAAACTGAAATATATTTATAAAGATTTTTATTTTAATATATGTAATAAATTAAAATATATTTTAATATATGAATGCTTCAAATTATGAAAGGTATAAGCATTAAATTTGAAAATAAAATGCTAAACAAGGTTTAGCATTACACTTTCTTTAGCACACAAACAAACTTAAACACCTACAGTGAAGCTACCGAGTTTATCTAATTCTCATGTTAAAAATAAATCCATAACAAACAATGGTCAAAATAAACTGCTTTTGATCCCTTTTAATCATATTTCTAATAGTTAATAAAAACATAATCATTTACCTTTTCATGATTAAAAAAACATGTTCTCTTGGCTTTCCGCCAACAATCTTTTTCAAACTATCAAGCTAAAATAAATGTACTAAAAATTAGTGTAACTTAAATTTCTTTACAACATATTGAGTCTAACACAAGCTAGTTATTTTAGTTCATTTACAAATACTTTTCATTTTGATTCTAGACTAATAAAACAAATTTAAACAAACTTATTAAAAATTAAAATAATTAGATTATACCAAATTAGTATACTCGGTTTTATCTTTTAGTTTATTATCCAGTGTAACCACTTTGTCCGCTGATTCTTGCAACTTCACCCCAGTAGCCTGAAATTTAATTTCTATAACTTCTTTTAAAAGAACTTTTATTTCTGCAAGCTCCTTGAGAATAACATTTTGCATCTCTACAAACAAGAATAAAAAGATTGATTAACATATTTAGCTCATAAAACCAAATAGCAAAACAATGTAATAACAACTTTAAAATTCAAATTATGCTTGAGTAACTCTAACTAAAATTCCAAAAATACATGTAAGTTTTTTTATTACTCCATCACAGAAGTTGCCATAATATTTTGGAAAACCTACTTTTTAAATCAGTTAAAACTTTATCTGTAGAATCAGACAAAGGCAAAAGAGGCAGATTGGAAACCTAATAAAAAATAATTTTGACTAAATAAACTACTTTGCAATAATAATCTAATAAAAAAAAAAAATCCACTCAAGTTGTAGGTAAACCCGCTGAAAAAAAATTAATCATTCAAGTTTTACAGAAATTCTTATTTAATTTTGACAAAAAAACAACAACAAATAATATTCAGATTTATGTCAAATTGTTACTGATAACCAGGGGTGTGGAGTTGTAAAAAAAAAGTAATGACTCCAACTCCAGTTGTTGAAACTTTTTGAGTACAGCTCGAAAGCAATATTTTTGAAAAATTCTTCAAATTCTTTAAAAAATAATACGGGATAAGTTAAAAATTTCTTTTTTGACAAATTTATGAAACGTTCTTTGAGGTTTAGTATGAACATAAGATTAATTGAATGTTTTGTAAATGCACGTACAATACTGAGAAGTTTTACTATTGGAGTCGGAGTCGCAATTTTGTTTAGCGACACCGACTCCGCTGAAAATGTCTCAACACCACAACTCGGACTCCACAGCCTTGGTGATAGCTTTTGTGTATTTTTCTTTGGGCTTGGCTCAAGATCAATTCTTGATATTTCCTCCTGTAAAAGGTTAGGATATTAAAAAATTTTGTTTAACTACTAAAGGTAAAGTTGACCAAATGCTACACGCATGATTTATCGGATCACAATATTATAAATAATCCATTTCTATACTTCAATACCTATCTTTTACAATTTTTCCAAAACAAAAACAAATTAATAAAAAAAGCCTCCACATTAACATTCAGTGGTGTAAAAACCAAAACTACTCACATTAAAACTTAAAACTCTTTGACAATGTGAACTTTGCTTGGTTTTATTGTGTTCATCAATAAAATGTGAAGAGAAAAATATCTTCTTCAATCTCTGAATCTGATAACAACTCTATTCAAAAAAAATAATTATAATTAGAACTATAAATAATCCCTCAACCATACCTGTTACTTAATTTAATCTTTCAACCAATTTTGTACTCTTTCAATTTCTGGATTCAAACAATTTCAGCATGCTTCCAATCAATTTTCAATTTTCATATCAAGTTGATTAAAGGATTATTTAATACAATAGAATGTTGTAAATGACATAAATATATGTAACCAATTTAACAACATTACATATAATAGGATACCCAAATAGTTAAAATAAAAGAAAAATCTTAGTAATTTATAAAAAAGACTAATAGCTAGTAAGATATTATTCAGATCAAATTAAACAAGAATCTATTTCAGTTTATAAACCATTAAGAAAAAGTTATGATATTTGTGTTCAGGGGTGTGGAGTCGTAAAAAAAAAGTAACGACTCCGACTCCAGTTGTTGAAATTTTTTGAGTACAACTCCGACTCCGACTCCAACTCCGACTCCGACTCCAACTCCAAAGCAAAAGTTTTGAAAAATTCTTTAAATTCTTTAAAAAATATTGCCCGGTAAGTTGAAATTTTTTTTTTGACAAATTTATGAAACATTATTTGATGTTTAGTATGAACATAAGGTTAATTGAACGTTTTGTACATGCACGTGCAATACCAAGAGATTTTACTATCGGAGTCGGAGTCGCAATATTTTTTAGCGACTTCGACTCCGGTAAAATTGTTGCAACTCCACGACTCCGACTCCACAGCCCTGTTTGTGTTATACTTTTAGCATTGGGCTTATTCATAATAGGTGGCGGAGGTTCTGGCAATGAAGAGCGGTATGATTTGTTATTCTTATTTTTAATGCTTTCTTTAACATATATCTCATCTGATGTAGAAAGTTGTATTCTTCACAACATGAATATGAATATAATTATAAAACATTTTGCTACAAAAAAGTAATTGTTACCTCTAAAAAAAAGACAAAACAAGTTAGATACTGACCATCTGTTATCTTACACTTTATCAATGGAAATTTGAGCCATTCTTTTGTTGACGAAAGGTTGTTTTTCAGTGCATGATTATAGTTTTTTTTGGGACAATAAATTTGTTGCTATTCTTTGTCAATCCACTTGTTTAGTGCAACATTACTTGGTTAGAAAAACATGCAGAAAAACTTTCTTTTAAAGTTGGGTTATGCTTATACTTATCAGGCTTTTGGTCATTAGAGTATTCATTGTACAAAATCGATGACTCATGATGGTCAAAATATTCTTTTGGATTTTCGCAAGATAAGAAATCATTTCTTTTACAAGTTCCAACATTCGATTTTTTTTCTATATGTACTGATGAAAATTCTAGTATTTAATATTCCTTTTGGACACGTCTAATGCGTCTCTTTTCATATGCCCTTTTTGTAAAAGACATAAATGAATCTTGGTTCCTCGATAAAAACGATAAGTGCACAACCAATAAAACAATATTTTGTGTTATTGAAATACTCATATATATGTATACATATATTTTAATTACATTATCTTTTATTCTAGATATAAAAATATCAACTTGAAAATATTAATTTTACAATATTTCTGCAAAATAAATTTCAAATCACAAGGATTTTAGCAAACATGCTAAGCATCAAATCATCGAAATATTTTGTGAACTATAATAACATGTTATTTTATTATTTAAAATTTATCAAAAGAATTAATCATTAAAAGACGTCTATTGTTTGCTGGGTAAGCTATCGAAGGTCTAAAAGACGTCTATTGTTTGCTGGGTAAGCTATCGAAGTTATCCATGTAACAAAAATATAAACTATTTCATAAACCTATTATACCGATAGCAATAATCAACACTCCTTAATTGTATTTATAAAAATTGTCAAGATTGAAAAAATATGATAAAATATTGTCTTGTCCAGGTAGAAAATTTGAAACTTTGATTTCAGATTTGCTTTGACTCTCCTCTCTTTTGATAATTTCTGTTTGTTAAAATTACATCTTATTATTTCCACCATTTCCGTATTAACGTCTGTAAATTACATCTTATTAGTTCCGCCATTTCCGTACTTACATCTGTAAATTACATCTTATTAGTTTCGCTATTTCCGTACCTTTATTAGTTTTCCGTATTATCCGCCATTTCCGTACTTACGTCTGTAAGCGTAATGTCTTAAGCGAAGGAGTTATACGGATTAATCGTGTATAACATATGTATAATATGAAAAAACTTTAAAATTTTATTTCAACAATAAGAAGTCTTTTTTGCTATATATATATATATATATATATATATATATATATATATATATATATATATATATATATATATATATATATATATATATATATATATGATATGCGTTTAGGAGAAAAACAAACTTAATTATAAAGTTCATAATTGTTTATAAAAGCTTATAAAATATTCAACCTTTTATAAGCTCTACGTATGCGGAAAAGAAGCGCATGTATATTTTATTTTTTCTCTTAAAGCAATTTTCTTGAATGAATTATTTGAGTTAAAATATTGAAGTAAATAATTAATAAGTATAGAAATGATCAGTGGGGAATAGATAAGTATAGAAATGGTCGGTTTGGTGAAGACCCGTATTTTACGGGTCCGGAAAGCTAAGATGTATATATAAGGAAAAAGTATAGAAAAGCTCGACGTGGAATAGACATACAAAGATCCTGATTTCAACGGGTCTGGTCAGAAAACTGTTAATATTACTAAAGTTAGTTTTAATCATTAAAACTAACTTTAATTGTTTAGTAACAATTCTCTGACTAGACCCGTAAAAATCAGGGTCTTTGAATTAAATTAATGTAATATTAAATTAATATTAAATGTAACATTAAATTAATGTAATAAAAGTTTTTACTCAAATTAATACTTGTACAATTTGTCACCTTTAAAATTTACTTGTTAACAGTGGTCATTTTTGGGGTCAAAATCTGGAACGCACTCTTGTCAAACCCCTATTTCGACGTTGAGCGTCCTTTGCGTCCGCGAACTCGTGTTTCTAGGAAAAGGGCAAAACGGGGTATATAGGGATTTGCGCAGCGGTGCGCACATACACCAACTAATTTTTAGAGAGAACATGCAGCGGAGTGTGTAAACAACGACTGAGGGTTTTGGGTGAGTAGGTTCTCTTTTAAATGAAGAAGTCGTTTTTTTACATTTTCGGACCTTAAGGACAGCGTCGGAATAAGGGTTTGACAAGAAAGCCTACCTCAAAATCTGCAGAAAATCCCATAAGTGTCATGAAAAGATTTTTTAAATTTATGGTATTCATCAAAAAATAGGATAGTTGGAGAGCCATAATATAAGGTTTAAGAGAAATTGAAGTAAAAATAGGTTGGCTATGAGTAGAACAACAGGAGGAAAAAAGTAGTAAAAAATTTACTGAAAAATGACTATTTTTAAAGTGGGTCTTAGAAAATAATGGGTGAAAATTTTCAAATTTTTGTTTAATAATTTTAGTAATACATATAAAAAAATATTAGAAAAGTTTTTTTATAACAAATCCCAACAAATTGGGACCAAATCAGGTAAAAAGAGGAAATAAAGACCTTTAAAATGACACATGAAATTGTTGCGGGGAGTTGCGGGAGCTTATTTTATTGACTTTTAAAGTTCGCGCAAGCATGTGTGCGCGTGCGATCGTAATTGTCGGCGAGCGTAAAAATTCGAAATTGTTTATCGTGCGCCAAATTTTTGGAAATTCTGTAACTCGGCCATTTTTTAATGGATTTTTATGATTGATACCTCAAAATTTATGTCTTTGAAAGACCTTTCATGCTGGTGTCATTAAACTTGAAGAAAAAGGCCACAAAATTCCTGAACAATGGTAAGATATGATTTTTTTCTCCTAAGAGAAACTAAATCCCTGTGACACTAATGAGGCTTCTTTCAATGTTTTATATTGATGTTTCTTAATCTTATTACAATTTATGTTTTAGAAAATTACATATCTTGACTTGTGTCATGAGATGAAGAATAATTCAGCCAAAGAGCATGGATTTGCTGACATCTCTTATCAAACAGAAATTGTGAAGAGATTCATCTTGAAGCAGCTCAACTTTATAGAAGGAGATCTGGATTCTGAGGTTCAAGCAGAGATTGAAAGTGATGTGAACTCATTTTTGGCTGGTGTTACCAGGCTATATAGAATAAAACACCACAGAAACTACAGAAGATTTGTTGAAAATGAAGCAACCTTTTTGAAAAAGCTCTTCAACATTCCAGAAACCCTTCTGAGGACACCATCAAAGACTGCAGCATCTAGGTATATTTAAAGGGTTGTCAAAGAAATAGCAGTTTTTTGTCAGTAACTTAATGCACAAAAGTTAAGACTAATTCAATTTCTACAGAAACTTAGTATATATCATAATGTTTATTTAATAGAAATTTGTCTGTTTACTTCATATTAGACTACTTGAATATAAAGAGCTAATGTTTTTATAGCTCCCTTGAGTTCAACTCCCTCAAAAAACGTGGTCGTCCTCCAATCCCATTTGAGGAGAAGTCAACGCGGTCAAAATTGGTAGTAAGCGCAGAGATCAGAAACACCTATGATGATGGAGCAATCATGCTTACTGCATCTCAACAAAAGTCAACTCTTGGGAAGCTCATTCGCAGAGCTAACAGTCAAAATGGAACAACTGCTCAAAAAGCCCTCAATGCCATAACTGAGGGCAAGAAGGAGAGTGTTCCTAAAATGCCTGCTTTTGTTGCTCTTTCCTTTGTACTCACAAAGCATGTTTCAAAAGACATGTATGTTGAAATGAAGAAGCTCAGTACGGAGTGGCAAGGCAACATATGGCCAAACTACAACAAGGTAATTGTGATGAAAGTTAACTATTGTTTAATTCAGTTAAACAAAGCCTTAAATAAAGACCATTTTACACATCAAATGTTTATGCATTAATGGAAGAGTTTTCTCAACTATTTTGTTCTGTATGCATACATAAATATAGGACACTACACAGAGTAAATGTTTCCAAATGTTTAAAAAATTAGACTAACAGTTCAAGTTTTAACCAATTTAAAGAAAATCACTAGGCTTATTTCTGTAGAAAATAATTTTGAATATTTTTTTAGGTCTTGGCTGCCAAGTTTGATTGTAGACCAGTTGGATGTGATCTTTCATCAACCAGTGGACAGGTACCTCTTCAAAATCTGCTTGAGCACACAGCCAAAAGGATCTTTCTAGAAGATGCTGAACAAATTACAATGCTTCAAGCATTAGCTCAAAAAAAGCAGACACCCATCCGGCTCAGGTTTCACTTCAAATTTGGCTTTGATGAAGTTGGATCTTTTCCCACCTCCATGCAAAAAGTAGATGGTGAAGTCCCAGATGGATCAACATATCTTGTTAGCCAGATGGTCCCATTACAAGCAGAAGTTGAAGATGATGACACCATTGTCTACAAAAACCCTCACCCAAACTCTGCTTCTTCATGTCGGCCAATTCGAATTGCAATTGAGAGGGAGAACAAGTTCTCAATCCAGAGAGAAGCCTCAAGGTTGATGAAAGAAGTTGAAGAACTGACAGAATTCTCACTTCTATCTGATCCTCAAGTAATTGTGACTTTCAAGGGTTTGTTGACCATGGTTGATGGCAAAGTTTTGAATGAACTTACATCAAATCCTGCATCTTCTAATTGCCCCATCTGCCATGCCAAACCAAAGGAGATGAATAATCCCAAGGGTGTCTTTACACCTAAACCTGGCACATTGAATTTTGGCCTAAGCATCTTGCACTTTGGCTTGCGGAGTTTTGATACAATTTGCAACATTGGATATCGCCAAGATGTCAAAAAGTTCCATCTTCATATGAGCCCTGATGAAAAAAGACTGGTTGCAAATCGGGAGACACAAGTCAAGCAAGAATTTTGGGAGCAGCTGGGTCTAATTGTTGACCAGAGGCGGGATGGAGGTGCTGGCACTACAACAACAGGAAATGTTGCTCGCAAAACTTTTCAAAACCCAGGTAGCTACACTTGCAAGTTTTGGTACTTTCACCAAACTTTTTGGGAAGCATTCAGAAATAATTTAGTTTTTAGATATTATGTCTTGTCAAGTTGCATGAGCATCACATCATAGCTTTGCTGTCAATTTGGAGAAATTCAAATCTTGATATCTGTATATTCCTACATATTTTCTTTCTTTTTTAGAAATTGTTGCAAGAATCTGTGATGTCCCTGTCAAACTGGTTGAAAATCTTGGAACACTCTGGTCTGCCCTTGCATCTGGATATGCCATTGATCCAGACAAGTTTGGAGTTCTGTGTGAAGAAACTGAGAAGATTTATTTTGACCATGTAAAATGGTACTGGTTGTCCCCAACAATTCACAAGGTTCTGAAACATGGAAAACAAATCATTGAAGCTTGTGTTCTTCCAATTGGAATGACCAATGAGGAACCAGGAGAGGCTAACAACAAATTTCTTCAAAAAATCCGTCTTTATCATGCTCGAAAATCATCCTGGCTCAATGGCATGTCTGACATTTTCTTGAGACTGATGGACATCAGTGATCCAAAGATACAGGTAATTTTGGAATTAAGCATATCAAAACTTTTCCAATTTCAATAATTTTTCATGCTTATTTAATTTAAATGATTTCTGAAACAGGACCTTTTTTCATTTGAATTTCCCAATTTAGCTTTGATAGCAATATTTTCTTTCATCCATTAAATGTTATATATAATTTTTAGGCTTATGTCCACTGCAAGAAAAAGAAGCACAACTCAGAGATCTTGCCTAAACCCATCAAGAAACTCTTGAAGATGCCGGAACTTCAAATTTCTAGAGATGCCTCTGATTCAGAAGAAGAATAAAGAAGTCAAACAAAGCAACAAAGCCTCTCATAAAAATTAAAAAAATTCTCATACATTCCCAATTTTGTTATTTATCTAATGTTATTAGTTTCAACCAGATCAAACAAAATTGATATGCTTAACTCTATGTAAAAAAATATTTTCTTTGATGTAAGCACTTATGTTGTGCCTAATATAACCAACTAGAACCTCATTTGTGTTAATTTTTTTTAGCAATACATTTAAAAACTGTCATACATGTTGGGCAGGTTGGTAATCTCCCTGTGGGTATTCCTCATGCTTAAGTAAAAATGTTTTCTGCCATTATCATGTTTGATATGATATTTGTGTGAAATTTCTTCTATTTAATAAATCCATTTTGATCTTTAAGGTAATGAGACACATAATTCATTTTTGCAACCTAGCATTAATTGCAAAGTGTCAAATCTAACTTAAAAAGTGAATATTTTATTTTTTAAAGCAATTTTTTGGGTTATTTATAATTTTTACTTCAAATATGTTCATACCAGCTCTTTTTGAACACATAAAAAATGTTTTAGATTTTCTGCAGGTTTTGACCCCCAAAATAACCACTGTGTTGTTTTAGAATATACTCGTCTTAAATTTGAAAAACTAATTTTCTTGCAATTAATACGTATTCTTTTGAGTAACAATAATTAATATAAGTTAAGATACTATGTTGTTTATATTATATATATAATTTTGTTCATAGTAATACAATGAGTTTTAATTTTAGAATTAAACGCACGTTCAATATTTGGTGTTCAACCGTCTTCTGAAGAGTTATTTTTACGTAACAAGGAACTTAGTGAAATTCATAGTTATTTATTTGACTTAAAAGATGCAAAAAATTCTACCTTTGTGTTGTATGGAATGTCTGGTGTCGGAAAAACACAGCTTGCAAAAAAATATTGTGAAATATATTGTAAGTGCTATAAAAATTTTGTTTGGATAGATGCGTCGTTTGGAAAGTTACAAACCTCAATGAATAATATTTATCAAAAATTAGGAAATACAGTTCAAAATTTAAAAAGTGAATATTTCAATATAGAAGTAATTGTTGAAAAAATTCACAACTTTTATAAAAATGAAAAGACTTTGTATATTTTTGACAATGTCGGCGATGACTTAGTTGAAAATTTAGAATTGTACATTTCAAAGAAGCCGAATTCATTTAGTTTGATTACATCTCAATCAATAAAGTGGTCAAATAATGTAAATAAAATGCTAATTGACGTTTTTTCTTTTAAAGATGCCTTAGCTTATGTAAAAAATAATATCAAAGAAAAAACCTACACAAACCTAAAAAGCCTCATTGAAGAACTTGGTTATCATCCGTTTGCTATTATTCAGGCAACAAAGTATATAAATATGCATAAAGTTTCGATTGAAAAATATATAGGTCAATACAGATCAAAATCTTTACAATTACTAAAAGACGAAAACTTCCCAGCCGAAGAAGGATCGAATTCAGCAATAAAAGCAATAAATATACTTTTAAAAAAATTAGAAAAAACTCAAACTACTCCATTAAAAATACTAAACTGCTTATCTCATTGCGATGGTCAAAACATAAGTAAAAAATTTATTGTCGAAATATCACAGCGATTGAATGTAAGCGAAGAATACCTAATAGATGAAGCTATTGAGTTGTTGATGAGTTATTCCTTACTAAATAGATTTAATGATGAAAAGTTTTCAATGCACGATCTGACGCAGTTATCGTGTATATATTTTCAAAGTAAAAATTTAAGTATAAATACGTATTTCGATCTAATCGAAAATTATATCAAACTCGAGTTAAATAAAGTAAAAAATCAAGTTGATTATGGAAACCATTTTGTTTTTCATTTTCTCTACTTGTTTCGTAATTACAGAAAAAGAATGTTAAACACTTTCCATCATATGACAACTTCTATTAAAAAATTATTAGTATGTAAAGGTTTGTTTCAACAAGCAATTGAAATATTTAATGCTGTTCAAAATTTCAATGCAGAAACCTATGGAGAAAACGATAAACTTACACTTAATACTAAGCATAATATGGCATACTGTTTGTATAAAATGAGAAAATATAACGAAGCTTTAGAAATTTTATACTCAGTTGATAAAAAACTTACTGAAATTTCAGGTATCAACCATCCATCTACAATGACAATAAAACATAATATTGCAAGCTGTTTGCATAAAATGAAAAATTATGAGAATGCTTTAGAAATTTATTATGCTGTTAATAAAAGAAAAACTGAAATATTCGGTGGTAACCATCCATCTACTATTGCAACAAAACATAATATCGCTCGCTGTTTGTATGAAATGAGAAAATATAATGAAGCTTTAGAAGTTCTATATTCTGTTGAAAAAATAAAATCTGAAAATTTAGATATCAATCATCCATTTACAATGACAACAAAAAATAACATTGCACTCTGTTTGCACAAAATGGGAAAATATAACGAAGCTTTCGAAATTTTTAATTCTGTTCATAAAAGAAAATCTGAAGTTTTAGGTATGAAGCATCAATCTACAATGACAACAAAACGTAATATCGCAAGCTGTTTGCGCAAAATGGGAAAATGTAGCGAAGCCTTAGAAATTTATTATTCTGTTGATAAAGTACTAACTGAAATTTTAGACATCAACCATACATCTAAAATGGCAACAAAACATAATATAGCACTTTGTTTGCACCAGATAGGAAATTATAGTAAAGCTTTAGAAATTTATTATTCTATTGATGCAATACTAACTGAAATTTTAGACATGAAGCATCCATCTATAGTAACAACAAAACATAATATTGCAAGCTGTTTGCAAAAAATGGGAAAAAATAACGAAGCTTTAAAAATTTATCATTTTGTTAATGAAATACAAAATGAAAGTTTAGGTATTAACCATCAAAAAACAATTACAACCAAACGTAATATTGCAAGCTGTTTGCGCAAAACAGGAAAATATAACGAATCTTTAGAAATTTCTTTTTCTGTTTATAAAATACCAACTCAAATTTTAGGCGTTAACCATCCATCTACAATGACAATAAAACATGATATCGCACTCTGTTTGCAAAAAATTGGTAGATATAACGATTCTTTAGAAATGTATTATTCTGTTGATAAAATGCGAACTGAAATTTTAGGTATGAAACATCTTTCTACAATGACAACAAAACATAATATTGGAAGCTGTTTGCGCAAAATGGGAAAGTATAACGAAGCTTTAGAAATTTTTAATTCTGTTCATAAAACAAAATCTGAAGTTTTAGGTATGAAACATCAATCTACAATGGCAACAAAACGTAATATTGCAAGCTGTTTGCGCAAAATGGGAAAATGGAGGGAAGCCTATGAAATTTATTATTCTGTTGATAAAATACTAACTGAAACTTTAGGTATAAAACATCCGTCTACAATGACAACAAAACATAATATTGCACTCTGTTTGCTCAAAGATGGAAAATATAGCGAATCTTTTAAACTTTATAATTATGTTCATAAAATAAGAACTGAAATTTTAGGTGTCAACTATCCATCTACAATGATAACTCAACATAATATTGCAAACTGTTTGCAAAAAATGGGAAAATCTTACGAGGCTGTTGAAATTTATTATTCTGTTGATAAAGTGTTCAATCAAACTTTAGGTCTTAACCATCCATCTACAATGACAACAAAACATAATATTGCACTTTGCCTGGCGGGAACGGTAATAAGATTTTAGAAACAAGATTTTAGAAGGAAGTGGGAATAATAACAAGATTTTAGAAACTTAATATTATTTTGATAAAATACGAACCAAACTTTTAGGTGTCAACCATCTGTCCAGAATGATAACAAAATATAGCACTTAGTCTGCACAAAATAAAAACCTATAACGAAGCTTTAGACGTTTATTATTTTGTTAAGTAAATACGAACTGAAATTTTAGGTACCAATTATCTATCTAGAATTACAACAAAAACTAGTATCGCACTCTATGCATATGAAAAAAAACTTAAAAAAAGGAAGTTGTTGGTCACCTTTATATTGTTAACTATAAAAAGCTTAGATTCTATAAACTGTATCTATTATTAACTGTGATATTGTTTTATAGTTTTAATGCAATTTTATTAAATAAATGCGAACATTTTATTTTTATATAATGCACACTCATACACACACATGCTTATATTAACAAAAGAGTAGTTTCATGTCAAGACAATTTTTTTAAATTGAATCCTATGTTCTTGGATTTTCTTTATATTTTTATTATAGTAAGTACTTTTTGACACATAATAAAATTTCAAAGGTTCAAATCTAAGCGGTTCCTAAGTTATGTTTGCTATAATTTTGGCTGATATTATTTTTTTGGTCTATTTCCAACATTTTTAAATTTACATTTTTCATTATAAAATTTAAACCTTCAAAAAAGACAAAATAAGTAACTTAGATCAGAGTTGATAATGCCGCCCGGCGGCAAAGTAACTTTCTGCCAAAAGGCCGACTTTTTAAGGAGGCGGAAGCTGTTGACGACGGCTTCCCGATCAATTTTTAGCGGCAAAATATTTTTTCTTCCGCCTCCAGTGGCTTCCGCTTTTCTATTGGCGGCCGCAGCCGGAGTTCTTTTTTGGAGGCAAAATGTTTTGGAGGCCGACGCTAATAGAGTGGCAGAAGCCAATAGTGGCCGCCTCCAGAAGAAATTTTGGAGGCAAAGCCATTTGGAGGCCGCCAATAAAAAAGCGGAAGCCACTGGAGGAGCAAGAAATAACTTTTTGCCGCTAAAAATTGATCGGGAGGCAATACCCATCTGCTGCGGAAGAAAAGTGGAGGCAAGAAGATTTACGCCCTTTTTCAACACTGACTTGGATAATCTTCATGCGAGTCATTCGTATGCATAAGTTAAAAGCACATACTTTAATTATAAAGTACACAGAAATCAATTTTAAATACACAAATAATCGGTCTCTGCCCCAGCAAAAAAATTGGGGTACGGTAGATTTTTTAAAACGAATATTTAAAAAAAGTTGATTATATGTTTGGAAAACAGAATGATAAAAGACTTTATTCTTCAAAATATATGGTTTTAAAGTTAAATGAAACTTTTTATAAAAAATTAAATATAGCATACTTAGCTTTTTGCTAAGTATGCTATATTTATAACTTTTTTTTTCATATCAAGACGACAAGAAAGTTGTGGAAGAGTTCATGTTAAGTGAACTGCAAAAAATAATTTAAACAAAAGATGAAAAAGAATTACATTAACGTTATAAAAATATAATTGAAAAAAAAATTTTCAAGAATAGAGCGCATTTTGATGATTCAGAATATTTTTGTTGCTTGATGTTGATGTTGATTCTATTGGTTACAAATGAGGTAGCTGCTTGTTTTATGTTTTTATAACTATAATTTTTTTTGTGGTTTTTTTCTTTCATTCAGTGATGAATGAAAGAAAAAAACCACACAAAAAAAAATACAATAAATCTATTTATAGTTTGATGAAGAGGTTCTACACCAAACCTCTCTATGCCGACAAAAATAAAAACATAGACGCTACAGAAAAAGCAGCAATTGTGTCTCTCAAAGTTACTTTGCTATGCTGTCTTTGAAAGGATTGATTGATGGAGCGTTCACTGCTGTTTGGGAAAGTGCATTCCATGGGACAACAACTCAATTTCGTAGCTGACGTTCTAGTTTTTGCTTATGCTCTCTCAAAATATACTTGGCTTTACTGTTTGTCAGTTTTTGCGGAACAAAAAAACTGACAAGTTTGAGTTGACGCGTGATCTCAAAGTGCTCGATAAGGTCTGCTATTTACGGCGTTCTTCAAGTGTTGTTAGAACGATATTATTTTTGTTGCTTGATGTTGGACTTGCTCGAGGATAGCTATAGTGGACTTTAATTGCGGCAACCAAGCTTGCGCAGCAAACTCACGGTGGGGGCGAATGTAAATGAGATACAGTGTGCGCCATAAATAAAAACAGCAACTTCGAAACTCTATCGCTGTAAATACAACTGACTTTACTTGTGGTCTGACGTTAAGATCATTGGAGATCATCACACCAAGGTCTCGTTCGACAACAGTCTTTTTGAAATGACTACGCGTGTTCTCGACGTTAGCCATTGATTATTTGTGTGTTGAATTGTTATATGCGCGGCCAACATGCATTGCTTTACATTTCTCAATGTTGAGATGCATGAGTCAAATATGTGACCATTTTACAGCTCTGTCAATGTCATTTTGGGAAGTGATGCTGTCCGACTTTTTAATTATGCCAATAATTTTACTTTTGTCAGCATACAATTTCATATGATAAGTGATGCAGGTCATTAATGAGGATTATAAAGAGCAACGGGCCCAAGACCAAGTCTTACGGCACGCCACTAGTGACGACTTGCCATTCAAATGTAATGCTGTTTATGACCACTCGTTAACTTTGGTCGCGTAACCAAGCTGAGATCCAGTCAACGAGTGCACCTTGAATACCGTAAGCTCTTAACTTATGAAGAAGGAGTTTATGCGGTACTTTTTAAAACGCCTTCGCAAAACTATGTATATGACGTCTACTGCGTAGCTGCGATGAAATGCTTCCGTCATGATGTTCCGAGTATCTAACAGGTTTGAGACACAACCCTTGGAATGAACAAAGCCATGCTACTTTGGAGTAATTAATCTATTATCTACGCAGTGTTCAAACTATTGACTATTTATATCAATATAATATTCACTACCACAATACACAAAATTATTACGTTTACATGATAATATTTAACATATATTTCAACGCTATATTTTTATATAATGCTTTACATGTATTTTATAAAAAAAATTAATGGTAATATATAAATAAATGGAATAAATATAAAGTATGGTCCTGAAAATTCTGAAAAGGTTTTATAACCAAAAGTAAACACTTGAATAGTCAGTAATAAATCAAAAAATTCATTTTAACGAAGAGTGGTATCGAATATCATCATTTTACTGGTAAAGTGAAAGTAAGCTTTTACTTCTTAAATTTAGAAGCATAATTTTTATATTTTTTCATATAAAGAATTAATAAACAAAAAAAGTTTTAACCTCGAAAATCATTTATGTTCATAAAAACAGTTTTAGCTAGAATATTTCAAGCGCTATTTTGTATTATACCTTTATCATGTATAAAATATGTAATGAAACATAATGTAAAAAGAGTATTTAAATCGTTGTTTAAACAACGTTGCAATGTTGATTTATGACTTTATAAATAACGTTGCAATGTTGATTTATGACTTTATAAATAACGTTGCAATGTTGATTTATGAATTTATAAATAACGTTGCAATGTTGATTTATGACTTTATAAATAACGTTGCAATGTTGATTTATGACTTTATAAATAACGTTGCAATGTTGATTTATGACTTTATAAATTTACTAACACTTAACTAACGTTAATTTAAAAAATACGCGAACGGAAAATTCAATATCGTTTAGAAATGTAATACAAACATTTAACCCTGCAGCTTTAAAAGTAATATATCTGCATAAATCAACTGGCAATAAGGATAGGTAAAAAGTTAAAAAAAATCTAGCATAGTTATTAAGTAACAGAATGACAAAGCTGAAAGCGTACTGTTTTGGGTTTAAAAATAGAATGGAACGCAATAGAATAGAACAAATAGAATAGACAAAAATAGAATGGAGTCATTATAGGACTGTTTTTTTAAAAAAAAGCACACAAACAAAAAAAAGTTCATTGTACTCAGAATGCTGTAAAATAGTTGGTAACAATAAACAACTATTCAAAATCTTCGGGCCTTAATTTCATTAAAGATTCTAGGTTTCTCTGACAGATTAGGTTCTTGGGCGCTAAAAACAATAAGAAAACATAAGTTGCGTTAAACTTTTTTTTACCTTAATATATTCTGGCCATATATGAGATTCCAATACTTTTAAGGAATTTAGTGCAAACATAATTATAATAACGTTTCAATGTGACAAAATAAAAAAAAAATTTCTCGTCCAGAAAAACTTTTTTTATTTTGTCATTAATAGTCGAATAAATTTGATCATTATTAGAGAGTTTTGGGTTGTTATCATCTGTAAACATGACAGTTAAAAGATCTGATGCTTTGTATAAGTCTAAGGTCTTAGTCTTGGTCTTTTACGTAAATCAAAATCGTAAGTTTTTTAAAATAAAACATTGCGGAACACCATAGGATATTTACTTTTGGTTTATTGTTTTTTTTTTTCAAAATCTTCACTTCCAACAAAGCTCCAAACAACCACAATTGGAAGTTACTGGAAGTTACTGGAAGAGAAAAGATGAAGTTTATAGAGCAAAATAACGATTAACAGACAACTTAAAAGATTGCAAATAATATGAATTATAAAAATAAGATGAGCAGTCGTGGCGCAGTGGTAGCGCACTTGCCTCAGAAACAAAGGATACGTGGTTCAAACCTCACCTCTGGGGCAAGTCTTGCGACATCGGTTAGGAAGGAAGCGTAAACTTCCAATAATATGGTCATCCATAAGGACTTCTTGGGCCACCTAAATAAAATTAAAAAAAAAAAGAGATGAAGGAATCGAATTCCAAAGGGCTTATGTTCGAGAAAAAAAACTAAACGAATAAGATCTTTTGGAGCACTTTGAAACAGTCACAAAGGATGTGACTTAATTGAATGACGAGTAACACGTGAATGAATTTTAGTAAATAACACAAGAGACGCATACTCTTTAGAGCAGTGCCCATTATAGAATTTATAGAAAAGATAAAGAGAAGCAACATTACGACGATGTGATAATGGTAAGAGATTGGCTGCAAGATCAGTTTCACTATGTTTACAACGCTTTTTTGCACCATGCATCTCTAAAAGAGATTGGGCATCATTGGAAAATATGGCACCAGTATTCCATACAAGAACGGATTTGAGATTTATAAAGATAAAGAATAGAATCTGAGTAAGAAAGTGTCAAGTATGATAAAGAGATACAATCTAAGTAGATGCTTATTTTGTAATCAATTTGATATATGGTTTCCAAGAAAAATTGGAAGTAAGAGTTAGTCTTAGAAGATGAAGGGTAGATGACTCATCAAGTACATTACCGTTTATAAATATAGGAAAATCTAGATTACTGCAAAAACAATTAGCTAAAAAAAATTGAGTTTTATATTAGATCCTTTTTAAGTTCAATTGCTCCCTCATAGCAATCACAGATTGTTGGTTTCTTATCAAGACAAGAATAAATGGTAGTATCATCAGCAAACAATGCCACCTTAGATGTGAGAATATCTGGAATTTTGTTAATATAATTTAAAAAGAGTATAGGGCCAAAGATAGAACCTTAATCTTAAATATAAAAAAAATAATCTTAAAGATGTTACCAAATACACCGTAAGAAAAAAGCCTTTGGAGAAAAGCAGTATGCTAAACTTTATCAAAAGTTTTAGAAATTTTGAGAGCAATAGCCTTAACCTTTCCACCTTTATCTAATGCACGATAAAACCTATCAGTTTTTTCTGTTGAAAAATCAGCAGTAGAACGAGAAGATGGAAATCCGTATTGATGATCAAAAAGTAAGTTAATAGATTTAAGATGAGAGATTAAGTATTTGTTAATTAAAGACTCAAAAACCTTGCTTATGGTTGTAAGAAGACTAATTGGATGGAAATTAGATAAGTGAGATTGCTCTCCAAAATTTTTAGGGATAACAGATGCCGCTTTCCAGAAGGCTGGAAAACAAGACTCTTTCAAACTATTTAACAAGCACTTGTTAAATAGTTTTGAAAGTATAGACGACAGCTCCAGGGAGCACTTCTTTTTTTTTTAATTTGATTTTTCTATACAAGCATAGGAACAGCCACAAATAGTCATTAAGACTAATCCAAAGTAGCGTCCGTTATTGACCAACATTTTTGCGTAGGTACTACCTACCGAAGTACTACTACTCAAGCGCTGAGTTGGCGTTGGCAGTATTTGAACTCGTATCTTACAACAGTCCAGGTTTAAATTTTTTGTTTGACGCTCTAACCAACTGAGCTAGCCACTAATAATAGTCTTCTGCATGACTATAAGAGATATGTTGTCCGGACCACAAGCATGAGAAGAGTCTAAGCAGCAAATTACTTTAGATACAGAATCTGGAGGTGATACAAAGGTCAGGCAATGGATTAACCTGATTGTCGGTTATATCAGATAGAACGCAACTAGTATAATCAAGAAATAATATTGATGAGAAGTTCTTAGCAAACAATTCAGCTTTTTTTAGGTGAGGTTACAAAATCTGAACCATACAAAAGAGATAAAATAACAGATTTTCCCTTATTATAAAAACTATTAAAATTTTCCAAAAGTCACAAAAGTCACAAAAAAGTTTTCTGGAGATTTTTTAATCTCAAAAACTAGTTTTTGAGATTAAAAACGAGATTATCTCCTTTATTTTAATGTACTTCATTTCTTCCCTCAGGCGTTCACTGCTCGTGTGTGACCATTCGGCGAATTTTATATGCCAAAGTTTTTAAATAATAAAAGTTTTCTGGAGAATTTTTAATCTCAAAAACTAGTTTTTGAGATTAAAAACGAGATTATCTCCTTTATTTTAATGTACTTCATTTCTTCCCTCAGGCGTTCACTGCTCGTGTGTGACCATTCGGCGAATTTTATATGCCAAAGTTTTTAAATAATAAAAGTTTTCTGAAGAATTTTTAATCTCAAAAACTAGTTTTTGAGATTAAAAACGAGATTAAAAATTTTTTGTGACCTGAGAATTTTGTGACCTGAGAATTTTGTGACCTGAGAATTTTGTGACCTATAGTGGACGTTGGCGTTTGACAAAACCTTTTTACAACGGTTTTTTTGCAATAGTGAACAGGCTGTTTTCTGGATAACTGTTTTGCTGACAGAAATAAAAAGAATAGTTACAACTGGAAATTGCAGCAGCACAATGAGAGGAAAAACGACGGAGAAGAGTGAGACAAAATAAGAGGAAAACCATGGAGATGAGCGAGGCTTGATTTATAAAAAATTAATTTGATATACATCATTACCATAGACTAATTTATTTTGATTCGATAGATGACTTGGAAGTATTATTGAGAATCTCTGCTAGTTATTTTTAATAATGTGATGTTTAAACTTATGGGGCAATGTATCAATGATCTACGGTGTTGAATGTTTTGGATGGTTCAATAAAAATGTAAATTGAGAATTTTCAAAAGATTTAGAGATATTGTGTACAAAAAATTGCATGGGTAATTGCATGGTCAGTTGAGTTATTTTTAAAAAAATTGACTTAAGTATAATAGGTTATTTTTATTAAAATAAGTATAGATAATAATAAATAATCATACATTATGCATTATTTTTCTAAAATTTCCGTTAAGGTAGGTGACGAAAATAACTTACATTAGCTCTGTCACCTTTTTTTTTAATTAGAGAAATTTCAACAACCTTTAATTGGTCAAGAAAAACTTCTTTATCAATCGATGATTTAAAGTAGAAGGAATATAAAGAATGATCCGAAAATAAAAATAAATGAATTTTTTGATTGTAAAATTACTTTTTTGATGATCTTAAATACTCTTAAGTAATATCAAAGTCCATAGCAACGTCCTTAGTTACAATAAACTAAAACTTTATTTATATTTATTTTTTGTTATACTTTTCACCCATATTGTACCTTTTTTTGACTTTGTACATTCACAAGTGTGTATATGCTAGGTGTTTACCAGTATCATACTTTAAGCCACAAATATTACTAAGACAGATAAATAAGCAGTATGTTGTGGTTAAACAGTATACACTTTATATTGTTTACAAAACTTTATTTTGTAGAGATCTGTATATATTCTGCAGAATGAAAATTGAGATTGTTGTAATAATTAATAGAATGAGAGCTTCATTAGGCGTAATTATTTTTACTATTATCTTCAAATAACTAATTGAATGTAACAATAAAAATAAGAATGTAAAAAAAACATCTTAAAGTATCATATAATTTTTTTAAATAATGCGTTAAAAATGATTGTGAGCCAGAAGAAAAAGATTTGGTGATAAATTGAAAGAAAAAAAAAAGATTTGTATAAAATTGGTGCTTACTGACCAGATTTTTTTGTATGTATATATTAGGACGTCTCAGCCGCCCCTTGTATTCTAAAAAAGATCTGTTCATACTCTTAAGACTTTCTATTGATTCTCATAAGCAACTCTGTCAAATTTTTTCAAAATTTTATTGGATTTAGGAGGAGCACAAGACCCTTGAACTCTTTTTTTTTTTTTTTTTTTTAGTTTGTTATTTTAGGTGCCCCAAGAAACCTTAATGGTCTTGTCACAGAGCACTGCAGAAGTGCATTTAACCAGAAAGTTCACGCCTCCTTCCTTACCGTGACGCAAAATATGTTCAAAGCTCGTTTCGAACATGGATCTCCTGCTTATAAAGCAAGTGCTTTAACCACTGCGCCACAGGCGGCACTTACCGGGTCCCTAATATTATTAAAAAAAAGTTTTTCAAAAGTATGTCATGTTAGGTCTCAAAAAAAGCAAATTATAGAAAAGTTTTATAAAAATAATTTTTATTTAAGATTTTTTATGGAATTATTATTAAAAAAAATACACTTCTTTCATTTTTAGTTATAAAAGATCTTTTTTCTGCCATAAACTCTGAAGTAATAATTTTTTAATAAATATACAACTTATATATATTTATTAAAATATTTTTGAAATCTTTATATAATTTCGCTTCTTTTGAGACCCAACATAACATACTTTTAAAAATATAATATTATATATATATATATATATATATATATATATATATATATATATATATATATATATATATATATATATATATATATATATATATATATATATATATATATATATATATATATATATATATATATATATATATATATATATATAAAATCACAAAAAAAGGTTTAAAAAAAAACTTATATCACAATAGCTTGATTAAATTACATATAAAAAATATTGATAATAAAGAAAACTGGGGTTTTCAAAGATTTAAACTTATTAAAGCTATATGGTTCCATAAAAAGACGTGAAAAAGTAAAATAATAAAATTTTCTAAATTATTTTCAGAAAATCTTTGTCGAATTAAAATTTCATTTATTAAAATATATTTATTTTATTCTTTTTGTAAGTGAAATTTACAAAAAGAAGTAGAATGGTTAAAGTTTATTTTTATATATGCTACCCCTTAAGCAATATTTGCATAGTTAATATGATAATAAATTAACGAGTAAAAAAAACAGGTGCGCTTGTTGGAAACGCAACATAGGTCATAACTATCTAGTCATAACTGTTCAAACCTAGTCATAACGGCTTAAATACATTCTGTGATACTTAAAACGTTTAGCAGATGGTTTTCTATAGTTAAATATGCTGGCCGTCTTCAGTGGTAACAACATATTTAGTTTCAACCAGTTCAAACTTTCAAGTTGGTACATTTGTAAAGGTCTTTGATTGAGTTTGAGGGATCAAATAAGTTTGCTTTGTCTGCAAACATTATTGAATTAACGTATAATAGAAACAGAAGGGGATCAAGAATTGAACATTAAGGTACATTGCATTTTATTCTTAATAGCTTGAGTTTTTTTATTAATCTGAAATAACACGTTGTTGTCTGTTGCTAAGGTAGTTGTTGAGCCATTCAAGAAAGATATTATTTTATCCCATAAATTTTATAAGCACGGTTCATCGGCTTTAATTTAACGGCCGTGGCTCAGTGGTTAGAGCGTTTGCTTTATAAGCAGGATACCCAGGTTCGAAACGAACTCTGGACATATTTTCGAGTCACGGTAAGGAAGGAGATGTGAACTCCCTAGTTAAATGCACTTCCGCGGTGCTCTGTGACAAGACCCTTAGGTCTTCTTGGGGCACCTAAATAAAAAAATTAAATTAAAAAATTATTGGTACAACTTTAGCTGTTTTTAATGAGTCTGGTATAAATGCTATCTTAATAGAAGATTTGAATATTTCAATCTGTTGTTATATTTAATTATTTACATTACATTATCAGTTTATTATCGACATGAACTTTACTACTACATTGCATTAGTCTCGTAATGTTTTTGTCACTAGTGCATCTTTAAAATTTATTTTGAGTAGCCACTTTCCTTTGAATTTTTAATTTTTTTCAAATAAAATTTATGTTGTTTTTAAGTATTTAAAATAATTATTTTTTCTAAATATTTATTGTAAAATATTTTCATTGAATATTATTTTATATCTTTAGGGATCCATGGATATGGTAAGTATTTTAATTTTTTATATTCCTCTATAATTGAGGAGTGATTATTATATTGCTTTAAGAATATTTTTAAGAACTCATTAAAAACAGATCTAGTGTGACCAAGGTCGCAATCTTGTTAAATCTTATCTCATCTCACTTTCGATAGTCTTTAAACTGCACAATAGTAAATTTATTAATTTTTTTTTTGGATTACGATTAGAGTTATCAGTTTTTTGGATTACGATTAGAGTTATCAGTTTTTTGGATTACGATTAGAGTTATCAGTTTTTGTAACTTGAAAAAAAAAAAAAGTATAGCGGGTAGTGATTTATGGCGATGTAGTGTTGAAAAAAATTGTCAAAAATATTGTTAGCAACAGTAGAAAAAATTAGATTAAGATACTTATGCTCGTGTCGAAACATCAATCTACAATAAAAAAAAGGTTAGTATTATCAAGCAAATAGTATGAGAAAACGTAAAATATGAGAGTACGTAGTGTAAAAAAAGACGTTTCACAATGGCTGTTAAAACTTGGAAGTGGACCAATACCAGCAAGCAAGACTAGTAATAAATCAGCATTGAAATGAGTAAAGTAGTAGAAAAAATTAAAAAAAAATTTAAGTATTATTAGTAATAAATCAGCATTAAAGCGAGTAAGATAGATACTTTTACGTGATCATGGTAGAGTATAGATAGTTAGGAGTAGAGTAGCATAAGAATAAGGAAGAATACTTGTTTAATACAAAATTAAATAGGCTGTTTTTGAATTTGGAGAATTTAAATAGAGAGTTTAACTGTGAAAGGATTAAACATCATATGAATATGCTCTGATATTTAACTGATTCATTGTCATAATAAACAGTTCTATGTTTAGGTATAGTTAATTTGAAGCTTTTAGCCCTATATATCTTTTAAATGTTAGAGGCAGGGTTTGTCTCCACCCAACGGATATTTGTTTTTAAAAGTTACGTTCTAAATGTCTTTTAAACGTTTTTTAAACGTTTTTTACGTAAGAATGTTTAAAAGACGTTTAAAAGACATTTAAAATACATTTAGAACGTAACTTTTAAAAACAAATGCCCGTAGGGCATATTTGACAAGCATATCTAAGATGAGACTCAAAGTTTTTAAAATATTCAGCTTCTACAAATAAGTTTGTTTATTCCATACAATAACTTATAAGTTATAGTATATATTATTACCCTATAATAAATATAATAACTAATAATACAGCAAAAAATACACATTCTTTCAAGATATTGATTTTATAAAATTTGTTAATTTTTTTTGCGTAAACTGCTTATCGGATTGTTTAACTCTATATTTTTTAACCTTCAGCATACAATTTCTCAGCCGACAAAAGGCGTTCTAGGACGTTTCAAGATGTAATGTGGACGTCGAATGCCCACCGGGATTTTGAGTCAATTTTTACTTTAATGCAATTTATCTTTAAAATGGTATGTATTTTTTGTTTTAGTCGGATTCGTTGTACATAAAATATGCAACATAAGGGTGAACATATCAAGTAACATTTTCTATACAACTGTTATAAAAGAAAAAATGAATGAACTTTTACGTGATCATGGTAGAGTTATTGATTTAACAAAAAAATCATTAACGCTTTTAGAAATGCAAGATCTATTGAAAAAAATAGAAAATAATAAACGCGTAGGCCATATTATTTGGGGAAAAAATACCAACTCTTGTAGTATTGAAGTACAGAAAAAAATTGAAGAAAAAATTATTCAAAATAACAAAAACCATTTTAAGCATCCTAATGACTTTATTTATGCATTGCTGAGCTCATTCGTTTATAAAGACTCTAAACAAGAAGAAAGAGTGGAATTTAAAAATGCTAATAAAGTTAAATTCAATCAATATTTATTGAAATGGAAATTTCAAAAGACATACGATAAACCAGAAGCTGGAAAATATTATGCTGCCACCTTCATTAATGAGTCAGAATACCAACTAGTACTTGCTCATAGAGGAATTTCAAAACTAACTATTGAAGATTTGTTAAAATCTGATTCACCTTTAAGAAGTGATATTTTAGAAGTATTAGGAAGAGAAATAGTAGCTCAGTTGAAGGAAGAATACTTTGTTACTAAAGAAGTAGTAGCTTACGCTGAAGACATTGGATATCAGCTATCAGTTACAGGCCTCTCGCTTGGAACTTGGTTGGCTGAACTCACTGTATATTTTTGTGCAGCTAAGTTTCACTATGCAGCTAAAGCTGTGACTTTTGAAAGCCCTGGCTCAAAAGGAATTGAAAATATTTGTTCTAACATTATTAAAATAAATACCGAAAAACTTTCTGATTGTATTAATAGATATAGTGACTTACTTAAAAACTTTCTGATTGTATTGATAGATATAGTGACTTATTTAAAAACTTTCTGATTGTATTGATAGATATAGTGACTTATTTAAAAACTTTCTGATTGTATTGATAGATATAGTGACTTATTTAAAAACTTTCTGATTGTATTGATAGATATAATGACTTATTTAAAAACTTTCTGATTGTAATAATAGATATAGTGACTTATTTAAAAACTTTCTGATTGTATTGATAGATATAGTGATTTATTTAAAAACTTTCTGATTGTATTGATAGATATAGTGACTTATCTTCTCCAGATTTTGTAAATACATGTAACGAGTATATAGAACGAGCATATAGGTACAGCCTATAGGTTATTTCCACAGGAAAAAACATCTAACTTGTTTAAAAAGTTTTTTAGTTTGATTAAACCGGTCATAGAAGTTGATATAGAACCAATAAATTCAATATTCAATCGTAGTCTTGATCTCATTATTGAAACTTTTAATCCAGTAACCGGTAAACCAGAAAATTATCAACAAATAAAAAATTGGCCCGTCATGATACATAATCCTGAAAAACCAAAAGAGTTAAATGCGTTCACTAAGTATAGTTGTAGTGCTAGTGCGGACCCTGATAATATGGAAAATAACTTTGGCATTCTTATCAGCATAATAGGTGTAGTGCGTGATGTTTTAATTGGAAAAATTGATCAAACGCACCAAATAGAATGTTGGAAATATCAAAAAAAAAATTAATCATACTGCAAATCCTGAAAACGAATACAATTAAAACTATAAAGTCTGTTATGAAGTGTGTACGGTAAACCTAAGAAAGATAAAATTGATAAACCATCTTTACGCATTAGACGAGCATAAAGATTACAAGTGCAACAATTCACTTATCGATAAACAACTAGAAACCATTCGTAAACAATACGTCATCAGGTTTGATACTAATCATATTAATCAAAATAGAATAATAGCAAGTAATGGAAATGAAAACTTGACAATAGAACAGTTAAACAACTGGTTATTAACTTTAGTTACAGTAAATCCCGAGTTAAAATATACTTTAGACAACAAAAATAAATGGCAAACGTTTAACGACGCAGTAACAAACACCTATCAATGTTTGTCTAAATATGCTGACCAAATTTCACCAGATCTTGTATCAAAATTATCAGTTGCTCAACAAAATGATACATTTGTTGCTCAACAAAATGATACATTTGTTGCTCAACAAAATGATACATTTGTTGCTCAACAAAATGATATATTTGAAAACGTTAATAAAGAGGTTAATCGATTTGAAAATCTTGGAGCAGAAGATACTTTAGTACGTGATTTTATTGCTAAAAAAGTCACTAGTAATGAAGTTATAGAAAAAAGTAAAACCGAGTGCTTAGAAATCATAAACTTGTATAAAAATTTGCGATCAAGTAATAAAATATTGCATGAAAACCCTCTTGCCCTAAAACCAAAAATCATAGTGCCAAAAGATGATCCGTACAATACAATAGAATGCAATGAACAAATTATAAAATATTACGGAAAACCTGTTTCAATTACGCAAAACCTATGCGATCAAATAAAATATACACAAGAAATCGCAGAATGCACAGAATGTTTATTTGAAAAACTGCAAGAAGTACAAAATAAAAAAAACGCTTTTGTATTTAACACATTGGGAGATGTTTTGCTTAAGTTAAATGATGCGAGCATAGAGCCAAGTGAACTTATGAAACTAATGCTGCTTGTAGAAAAAAAGGTAGCAAATGAAAATAAATCAATAACAGATAAAAAAAAAATATATATTGAAATCATTTATTCATTATTTGCTGATACATATGCAAAAAGCTCAAACACTGATTTCGCTAAAGCAGATAGCGCAAACGGAATGATGAAGGTACTCAGTAAACAAATCGCTACTTCGCCTGAAAATAAACAAATTAAGTTAAAAGAATTAAAGTTAAAACTAAAGAATTATAGAGACAGTCTAAACATAGTACTAACAGAGAAGTAGATTATGATGACATAGCAGAAGAAACTAAACATGGAGGTTCTCAAGAAGTTTTCTTGGAAAAAGAGTTTTCGGAAGATTTTGTATTTGAAGGTAACTTTGAATCTACTAAAAACAGTTACTGTATTATATAAAAAAGCGAAAAACAAAAAAAGATTTATTATCTTGAGTAAGATTTTTTTTTTTTTTACCAACGACCTAACTAGGGCATATCAGAGATAGAATGTGCCACGGGTGCCAATTGATGGTGGAGAGGTCCTGTAAAGACGCTCAACTTTTAACTTTTTATATTCAGTAAATAATTATTTCATTAAAGGCTATATCCCTGAAATTAATGAAGAAGTGAGGCAAAAGACATTTTTATGCTGAGGATACTCGATGTATCTGGTTTGACTATTTAAGTTGTTTAACTAATCGTCCCATCAATATCTTACTTTACCTACAAATATTATTTTGTTCTATTTACAAAATTTCATTTTTTGAAAAAACCTTGTTTTATGAAAAACATAAACAAAATGTAACATTTCCACTTTATTACGTTATCTACTTCCTCAAAAATGTTTCAATTTGTCATCGTTCTAACTACAAGATAGTACATTTAACCAGTTTAATCATGTTCTATGTCTATTTTACAAAACTTTTTAATGTCATACTTTTTCAACTCAAAAGCGGCAAACAAAATTAGCTTTCGCTATAAAAATTGTGTATATTGTGTAAAAAAAAATTTTTTTTATGACTTCTTTTAGACTTTAGTGCAACTTTGTTCTCTAGCAATGGCGTTGCTGGGGTTGGTGTCACCCAGTGCGGTAAAATTTTGGTGTCTCCCCTCTAGAATTTTACTAACAGAGCCAACAACATGGATTTTGAATTTCTAAAAAATAGGTCCTTTAAAAAATAGTTTGTGGAATTTTTGCATTTTTCATTTTGGTGTCACCCCTCTGTGTCAGGTTGTGATGGCGGCATCAAATGCGGACAGCACATCGCTACCCCTAGTGACGCCACTGTTCTCTAGGTTAAGTACCCGGAAAAAAAATCTCTTAGGTCTTTGCAAAGACTTAATTTGCCGCTGACTGTAATAAACAGTTTTTACACAGGGAAATGATTAACAATGCAAGTTATTGACAAGGGACTATAGGATTCCAAACCAGGAAACATTAATCACACAATAGTACATTATACTTTTGGAAAATCTGTTATAACTGGCTATAAATAAACAAAGTTTGATCAAAAAAGTAAAGTTTTTTTAATCAACAATTAAATTTAATAAAATTTATTGTCGCGAATTTAAAAAATAAGAAAATAAGTTTTGCATAAGCTGCGCAAGCGATCGAAGAAAAGCCTATTCCCTTCACCAATGGCTAAACAAACAATAGACTTCGAAGCACACACTTTATTTTTTTAAATCGGCAAATAACATTTTACTTAAAAACTTTTACGACCCAGATTTGCATTTTTTTGATGGAAATAATTTTAAATGGCGGCTTTTTGAATCATACTTAGTTAAATACTACATACTCGATATTCCTTACTTTCTCTAAGCTTCTCGAACGAGTAACCCATAACAAATTGTACGAATATTTAACCCAAATTAAAATCTTAAATAAAAAACAATTTGATTTTCGAAGACAAAATTCAAGTGACACGCAATACTAAATCTAGTTAAATGTATTAGTTTTTGATAAAAAACAACATGTTTTAGGAATTTTAATGGACCGGTCAAAAGCGTTTGACGCTGTAAATCATAATATCTTACTTAAAAAAATGAAAAGCTATGGTAAAAAAATTCACCATTGACTGCTTCAAAAACTACCTAAGCAACAGGCAATAATGTGTTATTTCAGTCGATTATAAACATTCATACCTACTAAGACTAGAGAGTGATGTCCCCCAAGGTTCCCTTCTCGCATCCCTTCTTATCTTCTATTTATTGCCAATCTTAAAAAAAACTCAAAAAGCTTTGATGTAATAATGTTTGCCGATGACACAAACTCATTTTATTTCTCGAACTCAATCAAAGACTTTTACGAATATATTAACATGAAAAATTAAACATCTGGTGGAAATTGAAACTAGAGAAAGAAAAACAAAATACACGTTTCATTCCAAAAAACAAAAAAATTATATACCAACTATATTTTCCTCACTAAAAATAGATAAGGTAAACATTGAAGGCAGCGAAGCAACTAAATTTCTTGGGATACTTATTGACGCAGATATATCTTGGAAAGGCCATATTAGTATAATAAACAGCAAAATTTTATAAAATATTGGGATACTTTATAAAGTTAAACCTATGTTGTCTGAAGATAATGTTTAATAAAAATAGTCTTTATTTTTCTTACATCCAAAGTTATCTTACGTACGCGTATATTTTATGTACAAGTACACACAATTCCAAACTGAATACTCTTTATATAAGTCAAAAACATGCATCACATGATTAGTTTATAATAAAGATATTATAAAAACTCACCCATGCTGAATTAAAAATGAACTAAAAATGCACTAAATGACTACCAAATAAACATCTACAAAAATATTCTATTTATACTAAAATACAATCTTGGACCCAGTCTCATTGCATTTTTTAGATTTTTTCAAATTAACTTTTAAATAGACAGAGCAGCAAGAGCAACAAAAAACTTTACATTGCCTTAAAAAAAAAAATTCTCATGATGCTCTATTTCCTATTGGGATCCGTACCTATATGACAAAATATCCAAAAATATATAACTTAAAGCATTAAATAATCCTGTCACCATTAAAAAAAAAATCTCATACTTTATCAACAATTATATCGACATGTATTAAATTTAACAAAATGTTTGTACTAAAATTTTTATGTGTATATTGACTGACTGTATATTGTTTAATTACTTCTGACTATATATAAAAATTAACTAGATTTTATTTAACCATTTAATGAGGTACTCGATGCATCGATCCCGAGGTGATTTTACGGGAAGGGGGGATACTTCACACACTCCTCCTCCTTAAATAAGGGGATTTTTAAGTTATAGTCGGTTTTTTTAGTTGGCTAGTCGGATATTTAACACAATTCATTTGGGTGAATTTTACTTTTGAAGACCTTTCTTTTTTTTTTTAGAAGCCAGTCAGTTACTTTTTAAGAATTCACCCCCCCCCCAGCCCTCATTCTTTATCCATCAGCCAATGTTGTTGTTGTCGGTGACTT